TCTGCCCGCTCTTCCTTGCAGAAACACTCCAAATCTGTCAGATTGCGAGGACATCTGTGCACAGCCCTCTTCAGATCACCCCACAGATTTTCCATCGGATTCAGGTCTGGGCTCTGGCTGGGCCATTCCAAAACTTTCATCTTCTGGTGAAGCCATTCCTTTGTTGATTTGGATGTATGCTTTGGGTTGGTTGTCATGCTGAAAGGTGAATTTCCTCTTCATGTTCAGCTTTCTAGCAGAAGCCTGAAGGTTTTGTGCCGATATTGACTGGTATTTGGAACTGTTCATAATTCCCTCTACCTTGACTAAGGCCCCAGTTCCAGCTGAAGAAAAACCGCTCCAAATCATGATGCTGCCACCACCATGCTTCACAGTGGGTATGGTGTTCTTTTGGTGGTGTGCAGTGTTGTTTTAGTGCCAAACATATCTTTTGGAATTATGGCCAAAAAGTTCAACCAGAACACATTTTCCCAAATGCTTTTGTGAGACTTCAGATGTGTTTTTGCTAAATTTAGCCGGGCTTGGATGCTTTTCTTCGTAAGAAAAGGCTTCCGTCTTGCCACTCTACCCCATAGCCCAGACATAGGAAGAAAACAGGAGATTGCTGTCACATGGACTACACAGCCAGGACTTGCCAGATATTCCTGCAGCTCCTTTAATATTGCTGTAGGCCTCTTGGCAGCCTCTCAGACCAGTCTTCTTCTCGTCTTTTCATCCATTTTGGAGGGACGGCCAGTTCTTGATGATGTCACTGTTGGTGATGTCACTGTTGGTGATGTCACTGTTGGGCCATATTTTCTCCACTTGATGATGACTGTCTTCACTGTGTTCCATGGTATATCTAATGCCTTGGAAATCCTTTTTGTACCCTTCTCCTGACTGATACCTTTTAACACTGAGATCCCTCTGATGCTTTGGAGGCTCTCTGTGGACCATGGCTTTTGCTGTAGGATGAGACTAAGAAAATGTCAGGAAAGACCTACTAGAACAGCTGTACTTTATTTGGGGTTAATCAGAGGCACTTTAAATGATGGCCGGTGTGTACTGACTCCTATGTGACATAATTCTGAATGTGATTGCTTAATTCTGAACACAGCTACATCCCCAGTTATAAGAGGGTGTGCACACTTATGCAACCACATTATTTTAGTCTTTTTATGTTTATTCCAAACCTCCCCCCCCTAAAAGATTTCAGTTTGTATTTTAGCTGAGGTGTACAGTTTAGAGATCACATTAACCGATCCCCGTCCGCCCTCTAGCAGAAATACTGCTACAGGGCGGCACGGGTGCACAAAATCATGTGTGTGTGTATATATACGTGATTTTGCATTTCCAGGTAGGGGGCGCACGTGCCCTACCCGCACCGCCATTCGCGGCCACGGTTGGCAATCACCGGGTCCCAGCCGGTAATTACTCACCGGTGCCCAGATTTCTGAAGATACTAACAGTCCTCCTTCTGCAGGCCAAGACGGGTCGAACGTCGGACGATTTAAAAAAAAAAAAATAAAAATGAAAAATCGGTCGTTCGTTTGTCCGACGTTACCACCAACGGTAAAAAAAATCAGCCAACAAAATCATAAAGTTCACCCCATAACTTCTGTCCCTTGCAGGTCACGGCTCATGCGTGGATTTTTATCAGTAAAACGATCGACTGATTTGCCCATTATTGCCGGGAAAATTGGCCGATCGTCAAAATTGGACGCAAATTTTCCAACATGACCGATAAAAAAAAAAAAACTGCAAAAAACAGCCGCTAACAGTGCGAAAATCGGCCGTGTTTTTTTTTTTTCGGCCGATTTTCGACCAGTCTATGGCCAGCATTCCTGTCAGCTCGGGCACACTGCTCTGAATGACTGTGCACACACACAGTACAGCTATCCAGAGCAGTGTGCTTACAGTGAAGCACACAGACACTGCCCCCTAGTAAAACACCCAGCACACAGTTAACCCTTTGATCGCCCCTAATGTTAACCCCTTCCTGCCTTTCACGTAAACCAATTAATTTACACGTATTGGGATTTTTTTTCAGCAAAGACATGGAGCAGAATACATTTTGGCCTAAATTTATGACGAAATTCGATTTTTAACATTTTTCTGTTGGACATGTTTTTTAAGAAAATGTCAAAAATTCATTTTTTTTTTTTTTTTAATCAAAATTGTCAGTTTTTTTTTTTTTTTTTCATAGCACAAAAAATACAAAACACAGAGGCGATCAAATACCGAAAGAAAGCTCTATTTGTTGGAAAAAGACCATACATTTCATTTGGGTGCAGCGCTGCATGACCGCGCAATTGTCAGTTAAAGTAATGCAGTGCCATATCGCAAAAAATGGCCGGGTCAGGAAGGGGGGGGAATCATCTGGAGGGGTTAAAGGTGGGAAAATTTCAGAAATGATTTATCTTTGTCTCCTTTTTTTACATCACAGAGACTTGAAATTTAATTGGGGGGGGGGGGGTGCAGACTTTTTCTATCCACTGTATATAAGCAGTTTAGAGGACATGCTGCCATTCTGGGGCCCCAAAGCCAAAGGTCATTGAACGGGTTCAGGTGAAATCGGATTAAAGTCCCCTGACACGTGATTGGTGGCGGTCCCTATGACATGGGCGGTGCCGAGGTCGGGGTTGGCTGCCAAACACAAAAACTATCCGCCATGTAAACAAGATGCCAAGAAGTTCCTGCGTTGTGGAGCGACACTAGAGAGCGGCTCTGTCCCCGGGACACCTGGCATGGGAGTGGAGCCGTGCCCAGAATAGTACATTGCCCTGCGGGGGGGGGGGGGCAGACCTTGGGGGGGGGGGGGGGCAGACCTTGGGGGGGGGGGGCAGACCTCAGGGTGCCATTCATACCTGACCATCGTATTGTGACTGCAGAGCTTAGTGTGGTGGTCTGCACTGCGACTAGAGCGCCCCCAGCATGTGACACTAGAGATGTCACTGTGCTTAAAATACATGGCACTGTGACCCTGTGCTGCACGGCATGATACGGTGCACTGAGCAGTAGGGCAGCTCCACTCTGCAGGGGCCACGGCCAGTAGGGAAGCTCTACTCTGTAGGGGCCAGGGCCAGCAGGGAATATTCTTTGTAGGGGCCAGTGGGGCAGCTCTACTCTGTAGGGGCCAGGGCTAGCAGGGCATCTACTCTGTACAGGCAAGGGCCAGCGGGGCAGCTCTACTCTGTAAGGGCCAGGGCCAGTAGGGAATATACTCTGTAGGGGCCAGGGCCAGTGGGGAAGCTCTACTCTGCAGGTGCCAGGGCCAGTAAAGCAGTTCTGCTCTGTAGGGTCCACAGCCAGTTGGGCAGCTGTACTCTGTAGGGGCCACGGTCAGTAGGGCAGCTCTATTCTGTAGGGGCCACGTCCAGTAGGGCAGCTGCGCTCTGTAGAGGCCTTGGTCAGTAAAGCAATTCTACTCTGTGGGGGCCATGGCCAGTAGGGCAGCTCCACTCTGTGGGGGCCATGGCCAGTAGGGCAGCTCCACTCTGTGGGGGCCATGGCCAGTAGGGCAGCTCCACTCTGTGGGGGCCATGGCCAGTAGGGCAGCTCCACTCTGTGGGGGCCATGGCCAGTAGGGCAGCTCCACTCTGTGGGGGCCATGGCCAGTAGGGCAGCTCCACTCTGTGGGGGCCATGGCCAGTAGGGCAACTCCACTATGTGGGGGCCATGGCCAGTAGGGCAGCTCCACTCTGTGGGGGCCACAGCCCATAACCACTGGCACAGTGTTCTGAGCAATGGGGCAGCTTCGCTCTGTAGTGGACATTATTATTATTATACAGTATTTATAAAGTGCCAACAGTTCGTTCAGCGCTGTACATTACAATGGACATTACATGTCCAGTAGGGCCACTTCACTCTGTAAAAGCCACGGCCAGTGGGGCAGCTTCACTCTGTAGAGGCCACAGCAAGTAGGGCAGCTCCGCTCTGTAGGGGCCACGGCCAGCCGGGCAGCTCCGCTCTGTAGGGGCCACGGCCAGCCGGGCAGCTCCGCTCTGTAGGGGCCACGGCCAGCCGGGCAGCTCCGCTCTGTAGGGGCCACGGCCAGCCGGGCAGCTCCGCTCTGTAGGGGCCACGGCCAGCTCCGCTCTGTAGGGGCCACGGCCAGCCGGGCAGCTCCGCTCTGTAGGGTCCACTGCCAGCCGGGCAGCTCCACACTGTAGGGGCCATAGCCCATAAACCCTGGCACAATGCACTGAGCAGTAGGGCAGCTCCACTCCAGGACCACTGTCTGTAATCCCTGGTACAGTGTATTGAAGATATGGGCATTGCCAAGGGTTCTTGGCACCCTGCAGTGGTCCTAGAGAGTGGGACAATGTCAGGAATGCGAGGATAATTCAAAATTTGCATTTTTGTGTTGGCCTCCAGTGAAACGTATTTAAAAAAATTTTTTTTTTTTTTTTAATTTTCTGTGGCATAAATAAATTCCAACAATTTGCATGCTGTAGTTGGGCTACAGGTTGAACGTGACCCTTCCGGTGCCCTCATAGAGGACGGTGCAGACCACGCTTTATGTATTTGTCACTCTCAAACAATCTCTGCCTTGCCCCAGTCAGATCACGCCTGGCATGCCACCAGAGCTACCGGGTGAATCCTAAAATACCCGTCATTTTCCTTCTTCCTGCCGCGTTGGCGCCAGAGGGCAGAGGTGCCTTGTGGTCTTCACCATCCCACCGTAACCGGCCTCCCCACCAAAGGAGGAATCTCCTCGCAAAGAAACTTCGAAGTCTTCTTGTGAAGGTGTAAAGTAAAAAAGCTCCGTAGATGTTGGAAATTGCCCGTCCTCTGACATTGATCGCTGGGGACATGTGTAAGACGCGTTCTTCGGTTACACTTAGAAACCACTTTGACTTGGGATCCGGAGCTATTTTTGGTCTCCTCTCCCTGAATGTCTCAACTGGTGGATTTGACATTGCTGCTCCCGAAATTAATTTCTTCCATTTACCTCCTTGGTATTTGTTTTATTTTGCACACTAATTTACCTCCTGGGTGGATTTTGATGATTTGAAGTGATGGATGATAGCCCTCTGCCGCTGCTCACGGTGCCGACGGCGCCGTATTACGACCAGAGACCGGGAACAAGCGGGCTGAGGAAGAGGACGTACTATTTCGAGACCAAGCCAAACTACCTGCAGAACTTCGTACAAAGCATTTTTTTCTCCATCGACCTTCGAGACCGCCAGGGGTCCACCATGGTGGTGGGCGGGGACGGAAGATACTTTAATAAGTTCGCCATCGAGACAATTGTTCAAATGGCTGCCGCGAACGGGGTTGGTAGAATGTATTCATATTTTATCTGCATGTTAGATCAACATTTTTTACATTTTTTATTTATTATTTTTTGTTGTTGTTGTTTTGATGTTTTTAACCTTTTTAATATAGAATTTTGGGTTGTGGGTTTTCCTGCTCTGCAAATGTTGACATTCGCGATTTTTTGAGTTGTCATCTTGCCAGAAGGGAACATTTTGTGTAGCATTGCCTCTCTGACAGGATGACAGAGCCAACATGCTTTTTGGATTCCTCGAATGAGTAAGATTTTGATTCTGACAAGTAAGGAAAGGAGGGGGGTTGGGCAATGACGAGGGCCAGTTCCCAGTCTCAGCCTTTGCAGTTGTAACAAAGCTTGAGTTCTGGAAATTGTGTAAATTCGCCTTTTTTTATTTATTTATTTATTTTTGAACTTGTAAATGACTTTAGTGCTATTTTTTCACCATTTTATTAAAAAATAAATAATAAAGGAACATCATAAGAAGACTGTGTTGCATAAAAGTATTTACTGTGTTTAGGAAGGATGACAAGAAATATTTGCTTCCAAGTCATAAGAAAATACTGCACCTCAAAACTTAACTAATTCCAATCCATCACCGAATTCATAAAATCTAAAACAATTAATATAATGATATATTAGTGCAAAAGTTCACTTTGCCATATATAATATATTAAAAAAAAATATAAACTTTGTAATAAATAATCAATTTTTAATCTATTTATAATCCACTGTGCCTTAATTGATTATATACAATAATACCCGTGAACACTGAAAATGTATAAATCTATAAAGTGCCAACAAAATTAATAAATATATAGTTGTCCCAATTTATTTTAATTATTCCACGCGTTGTTTCAATCTGTGCTTCAGAATTAGTTAACTAAGGCTGGCCATACATTATACAATTATCTGCAGATTTTCTGCCACATTTCCTTTAGATTTACCTTCAACTATGTAGTGCAAGGGCCTGCCTAATTGGATACAACTGAAAGTGTTGTTTAGGTTTGTCCTCCTATTATATGGTTTTTGGTAAATCTAAACCAAAAATCTGCAGATAATTGTATAATGTATGGCCAGCCTAAGTTTTTGGGGCACGGTATTTTCTTATCACTTGGATGTTTTATAATTGCACATATTTATGAGGATGTGACCAAATAGCGAACCATTAAGATAACAAAGTCTTTAGTTTATAAATTTGTGGCTCACAAGTATATTTTATATAACACGTTTTAAGAAAAATATATATTTTTTTTTTCAATTCTAGACTTTAAATGATTCCACTACCATTTTTTAAGAACTCTTGCACACTGCGGCTTGAGCTCAGTACAGTGTTTTGTTTTTTACCTAAAATGCAGCCCGTTGTTTACAGTGTGCCTTTAGACCAGGGGTGTCCAAACTTTTTTCAAAGAGGGCCAGATTGGATGAAGTGAACATGGTGGAGGGCCGAACATTTTTCCGAACATTCTTTGAACCATTACAATTAAATGCAAATAAATTATTTTATGCCAAGTTAATTGCAAACGACATACTTTTCATTTCATAACATTAAGATCAACTGACAGCTGAGTTTTCACAATGTATTGAAAATAAATAAAAAAAAAAACTTACCTGCACTAATGTGAAGGGTGAAAAAGGTAGCTGGAGCTGAAGTCTCTGCTCGGCAGCCGGGAGGGGAAGAGAAACACACTTCACGCTGGAAGCCCGGCCCTGACGTCACCGCCTCTGTCGCTCCCAGTGCGGCGCAGTCACGCATGCGCACTGCTCTCAAGCAGAAGACTGTCTGCCACAGAAGGGAGGGCCGTGCGACAGCCGCATTTACACAGACCAGGGAGAACGCACCACAGTCAGGCATGCGCACTGCCCCCTGCTCTCAAGCAGAAGACTGTCTGCCATAGAAGGGAGGGCCATGGGAGGGCCACATTACACAGAGCAGGGAGGGCTGTTGGAGGGCCGTATTAAACCGACCCCTGGGCCGTAAATGGCCCGCGGGCCGGACTTTGGACATGCCTGCTTTAGACACATGTGCGTAAACAAGAGCTGCATATTCTTGAGTAAAAAAAAAAAAATATAAAAATGTGCGTTCCTGGTCAGTATTTTACGCCGGGGTGCGCAAATACACGCATATGAGTATAAATACTAATGTTTTTTGCCTAGGAAAGTATCGGACGTGCAAATAGGCGCATAAATACGTGTGAATATGCGCAAAACAAACACCTGAAATTAAATCCAGAAATGCTAATGTACAAACATCAGTACTATGTGCAAGAAGCCTAATATTGATAAATAAATCCTTAATAAAGGACATTATGACAAGGATGGTGTTATGTGAAAATAAATATTCGCTCTGTTTATTTACGGCTCCTTGTTTTTTTTTTTTTGTTTTTTTTTTTAGTGGGTTTTTTTTTTTTTTTTGCTTTTAGGCTTCTAATTTCTTGTGAGCCACTACAAATATTTAGTATAGAAGAAGTTCGCAGGCTCCTAGCTACATTCTCATTATATGTGCTGAAAATTACAATTTAAAAATAAAAATGGTACCGCGCCCTTATATTGTACCCATGAATAAATAAATAAAATCAATATTTAAATAATAATTAAATGTTTAAATAATAAATGAATACCCTTAATTAATTAGAATGTAAAATGTGCAATTCATTCTAAAAATGTGATTCATTATTATAGGGAAAAAAAAACAAAAAAAACAAAAAAAAAAAAAAAAAAAAATATATATATATATATATAAATATATATCAAAAAATTTAATAAATAGATCCAAGTTAAAATAAATAAATGAATCAAATGTATATATACTGGAAAATCAATAAATAATAATTGATAACTGTCCAATGTAGGTGAAAGTCCAATCATTAGTGGACTTTCACTTGCACTACCATTTATTTATTATTTATTTTTTTTTTTTTTTTTTTTGGGGTTTCTAAATGTTTAAAATGTTTCATCTATTTTTTTTCTTTTTAATTTTTTTAAGCAAATAAAACCGGGATGTCCTAAGAAGGATGGTTTTGTATAATAATATTTATTTGCTGTGTTTAATTGCAGCCCCTTTGTATTTTGTTAGGCTTCTAAATTATTATTATACAGGATTTATATGGCGCCAACAGTTTGCTCAGCGCTTTACAATATAACGGGAGACAATACAGCAACAATACAGTTCAAATGGCCAGCACAGTGGATAAATGGTTAGCACTTCCACCTGGCAGTACTCAGGTCGTTGGTTCAAATCCCAACCACGGCACCACCTGTCTGGAGTTTGCATGTTCTCCCCTGTGCCTGCGTGGGTTTCCTCCGGGTACTCCGGTTTCCTCCCACACTCCAAAGACATGCTGGTAGGTGAATTGGCTCCTGTCTAAATTGTCCCTAGTATGTGTATGTATGAATGTGAGTTAGGGACCTTAGATTGTACGCCCCTTGAGGGTTAGGGACTGATGTGAATGTACAATATATATGTAAAGCGCTGCGTAAATTGACGGCACTATTTAGGTACCTGTAATAAATAATTTAGTAAAGGCAAACGGAGAGCACTGCTGACTTCTATCATCCAATCATGTGTAAGCAAAAAATGCTGTTTTTTTTTTTTTGTCTTGCTTGTGATTGGGTGTTCTTTGACACTGGTTGGGAAGGGGGTTAACATCTAGGTCAATCAAGGGGTTAAATGCGTGTCTAACTATGTGAAATGTGTGTAAATTGTGCTGCTTTTACTAATAGATCTCTGTGTTTCTCATCCCTGCGTTTCACATCCTGTACGGGTAAGCAGATATACTGACAGGCCAGCAGGAGGCCTGCATGACACCAGTGATCTACCAATCACCGGTGCAATGCTTTACAGGTTCCTGCAAACAAAAATACCAAATGCGTAAATTGACGGCACTATATAAGTACCTGAAATAAATACAAGAGGGTTAGGAGGGCCCTGATCCTGGGAGCTTACAATCTAAGAGGGAGGGGCTAGTGGTACAAAAGATAGTAACTGTGGGGGATGGACTGGTAGGAGGAATAGAAGATTCCATTATTAGCTGAGGGCAGGATAGGCTTCCCTGAAGAGAGAGGTTTTCAGAGATCGCCTAAAAGTGAGCAGAGTAGGCGATAGTCTGATAAATTGGGGTAGAGAGTTCCAGAGGACGGGGGAAGCTCTGGAGAATAAATTTCTTCATTGCCATTTTTTTTCTATATTTATTAAGAAAAATAAAATAAATTAGGGGCGCTGTAAGGATGGTTTTGTATAGAAATAAGTCATCTGCGGTGTTGAGGTCTGAGCTACTTTAAAGTATTTTGCTTATGTATTATTGATGATGTTGTTATTATTGTGATTATACAGTATTTATATAGCGCCAATGGGTGTGCTCAGCGCTGTACAGTAGCGAGGGGGACAGAACATGAGACAAGACAGTAACAATACAATACACGAGGGGTTCGAGGGCCCTGCTCTTTCCAGCTTACAATCTAGGAGGGATTCATCTTTGTATTCATATATCTGATGTTCAAGTGACTGAACAGATTAGATATATTATTTTTTAAATTTTCTTCCTCCTATAATTCTTTTTCATATCTATATGCGAAGCTAAAACTTGAATTCAAGAATATATAACTGCATTCATTGGTGTTTTATCAACTGATCATCTTTGATCAGGTAAAAAAAAACAACAACTTTTTGTTTGAATAGAGAAGCAAAGTGATAAAACTCCATGTAAACCCCATTTTCGACATCTGTTCCATAGGGGAGATTTCCCTTCATTTCCTGTCTGCGACAGGAAGTTTGAAGAAATTTCTGCAAAGTGAGTGGAAATTCTCTAAGTTGTTGAAGCAACAGGTGCCCCATTATGTCTTTTTCTGACGACGCTAAGGGCCAGTTCACACGACATGCGTTTCAGTTGCTGTTTTCTGTAGGTGATATGGTGGTCAATGTCATAGTTCACATCAGTGCTTGCCGTTCCAGGGTGTTCCGGATGCAGAAAAAAAAAAAAGTAGAACAGGCTGCGTTTTTTTTTTTTTTTTTTTTTTCTGCACCGAACTGTACTGAAACGCGGTAAAATGCAGCTGGAACGCAGCAAAACCACACTGGAACGCACATGTCCCTATTTAAATTGAAGAAAAAGAGAGGGGAAAGAATAATCCGGAATGCGCCAAAAAACGCGCATGCACAAACGCATCCGGAACGCGTTTCTATGGCGTGAACTGGCCCTCAAAGTGTTGCGTTTCTCATTACTTGAGACGACAATAGTCACCGGGACAAATAAAGGAAGAGTTATTTATTCCTTCGATCTTCCAGTCCGGTTACGTTTTTAACTCTCTGAATTCTCTGAATTGTTCAAGCCCTGAAGCAGGATCCTTGCAACCCCCAAATCCTATTGGCTCTCTTTTTCCATCATTCACTTAATATAACGAACCCTTCTGGACCCCGTGACCATCCATGTGGCGCCTTTTTTATGACTTTTTACAATTCTTTAATTGCTGTCTGTTGCCTCTGTTTGGGGGGATTCATCCTCTTATTTGTCCTGTTTTACCGTTCTCCCTGAAAGTGAAAGTGAAAGAAAATCCTACATTTGTTCCCATAACAGGAATAGAGGGGGAATCCTCCAATGGGGATGCTAGTTCTGGTGACACCCAGGGATTCCCTCGCTTTGGAAGGATTTCCTCTCACTCCCTGTTTTGGCTATGGGACAGGAAGTGAAGGGAAATCTCCCCAATGGGGCAAGGATGACAGGCTGACGGGGGTTACAACGCTCCCTTATCCCAGGTTCACACCTAAGCGTTTTCCGGTGCGTTTTGCAGAAATGAGTCCATTTCACATGATTTCCTATGGGACAGGTTCACAGCTCCGTATTTTATTTTATTTTATTATTTAAAAAAAAAAAAGTTTTTTTTATTTATTTCAGGTACTTATATAGCGCCGTCAATTTACACAGCACTTTACATATATATTGTACATTCACATCAGTCCCTAACCCTCAAGGGGTGTACAATCTAAGGTTCCTAACTCACATTCATACATACACATACTAGGGCCAATTTAGACAGGAGCCAATTCACCTGCCAGCATGTCTTTGGAGTGTGGGAGGAAACCGGAGTACCCGGAGGAAACCCACGCAGGCACAGGGAGAACATGCTGGGATTTGAACCTAGGACCCGAGTACTGCCAGGCGGAAGTGCTAATCATTTAGCCACTATGCTGCCCCCGTTTTCACCCAGTGCGTTTTTTAGAAAGGGTCAGGGGCTTTGAACGCAAAAAGTTGCGTTTTTGGTTGTAGACTTCGATGCAGAAAAGCGTGTATTGCGTTTTTGCTGTGTTTTTTTTTGCCGCATTTTTGATGCATTTTGTGTTTTTTAAATCTGCCTAGCAGCAAGAAAAAAAAAACACATTAAAAACGCGGCAAAAACGTAATGCAGAAACGGCTCAAGCACAATCTGCATAGGCGTGAACCTGGACTTACTCTACCCAAAATGAAAAACTGCCATTATTATTATTATTATTATACAGGATTTATATCGCACCAACAGTTTGCTCAGCGCTTTACAATATAACGGGAGACAATACAGCAACAATACAGTTCAATACAAGAGGGATAGGAGGGCCCTGATCCTGGGAGCTTACAATCTAGGAAGGAGGGGCTAGTGGTACAAAAGGTAATAACTGTGGGGGATGGACTGGTTGGAGGAATAGAAGATTCCATTATTAGCTGAGGGCAGGATAGGCTTCCCTGAAGAGAGAGGTTTTCGAAGATCGTCTAAAAGTGAGCAGAGTAGGCGATAGTCTGATAAATTGGGGTAGAAGGTTCTAGAGGATGGGGGAAACTCTGGAGAAGTCTTGGAGACGAGCATGGGAGGAGGAGACAAGGGAGCTAGAGAGCAGGAGGTCGTGCGAGGAGCGGAGAGTACAGTTTGGGTGATATTTGGAGACAAGATCGGTGATGTAATTTGGGGCGGAGTTATAAATGGCTTTATATGGTATTAATGTTTTGAATTTTATCTGTTGGGCAATGGGAAGCCAGTGGAGGGATTGGCAGAGAGGGGTGGAGGACACTGAGTGGAGGCCAGTGGAGGGATTGGCAGAGAGGGGTGGAGGACACTTAGTGGAGGCCAGTGGAGGGATTGGCAGAGAGGAATGGAGGACACTGAGTGGAGGCCAGTGGAGGGATTGGCAGAGAGGAATGGAGGACACTGAGTGGAGGCCAGTGGAGGGATTGGCAGAGAGGGATGGAGGACACTGAGTGGAGGCCAGTGGAGGGATTGGCAGAGAGGGATGGAGGACACTAGTGGAGGCCAGTGGAGGGATTGGCAGAGAGGGGTGGAGGACACTGAATGGAGGCCAGTGGAGGGATTGGCAGAGAGGGGTGGAGGACACTGAATGGAGGCCAGTGGAGGGATTGGCAGAGAGGGATGGAGGACACTGAATGGAGGCCAGTGGAGGGATTGGTAGAGAGGGGTGGAGGGATTGGCAGAGAGGGGTGGAGGCCAGTGGAGGGATTGGCAGAGAGGGGTGGACACTGAGTGGAGGTCAGTGGAGGGATTGGCAGAGAGGGGTGGAGGGATTGGCAGAGAGGGGTGGAGGACACTGAATGGAGGCCAGTGGAGGGATTGGCAGAGAGGAATGGAGGACACTGAATGGAGGCCAGTGGAGGGATTGGCAGAGAAGGATGGAGGCCAGTGGAGGGATTGGCAGAGAGGGGTGGAGGGATTAGCAGAGAGGGATGGAGGACACTGAATGGAGGCCGGTGGAGGGATTGGCAGAGAGGGGTGGAGGGATTGGCAGAGAGGGATGGAGGGGATTGGCAGAGAGGGGTGGAGGCCAGTGGAGGGATTGGCAGAGAGGGGTGGAGGCCAGTGGAGGGATTGGCAGAGAGGGGTGGAGGCCAGTGGAGGGATTGGCAGAGAGGGGTGGAGGGATTGGCAGAGAGGGGTGGAGGACACTGAGTGGAGGCCAGTGGAGGGATTGGCAGAGAGGGATGGAGGACACTGAGTGGAGGCCAGTGGAGGGATTCTGAGTGAGGCCAGTGGATTTTGAGATTTTAGTGATTGGGATTACATCGACTTTTAAACGTTCTGACTTGAGTTCCCCTTTAAGTAGCTGAATGCTGGAAAGAATTAAGCATTTGTATGTTTCTATAGTAAAGTCGATCTGTTACTGTCGGCTCGATGATCAATTTAAAGAATGTAAAACATTTTTTTTTTTTCTAAAAAAAAAAAAAAAAAAAAAAATGTTTTTTTAATGTATTTCTTCTTTTAGATTGGCCGACTAGTCATCGGACAGAACGGCATCCTCTCCACCCCGGCCGTGTCCTGCGTCATCCGTAAGATCAAAGCAATCGGCGGCATCATCTTGACCGCCAGCCACAACCCCGGCGGTCCCAATGGAGACTTCGGAATTAAATTCAACACTTCTAATGGCGGTCAGTCGGTCTCCTTCTGCTCTGTACATTGATTTATTTATTTTATTTATTTATTTCAGGTACTTATATAGCGCTGTCAATGTACACAGCACTTTACATATATATTGTACATTCACATCAGTCCCTAACCCTCAAGGGGTGTACAATCTAAGGTCCCTAACTCACATTCATACATACACATACTAGGGACAATTTAGACAGGAGCCAATTCACCTACCAGCATGTCTTTGGAGTGGGTGGGAGGAAACCGAATACCCGAGGAAAGCCATGCAGGCACAGGGAGAACATGCAAACTCCAGGAAGGTGGTGCCATGTGGTGCCATGGCATGTTGGGTGGTGCAAACCAACAACCCTAGTGCTGCCAGACGGAAGTGCTAACCATTTAGCCACTGTGTGTAGACATCAGGGAACATCTGATGTGCAGATCGACCTGGAGGAAACACACACAGGCAGGACATGCAAACTCCAGGCAGGAGGTGCCGTGGTTGGGATTTGAACCAGCGACCCGAGTACTGCCAGGCGGAAGTGCTAACCATTTAGCCACTGTGCTGCCCATAGGGAGTCTCTCTAAATTGCCAAGAGTGGGGGAAAAGTCCAAAGTGGGGGCTGGGCAGTGACACCAATGACAACGACACCAATGATGGGACGCAGTTCATTCTACTGACCTCAACAACGGGGCCCAATGATGACACCAATCATTTAATGGGGCACAATTTCTCACAATGACACTATTGATGGGGCACAATTTCTCCAGTGATAAAAATGATGGGGCACATTTCTTCCCAGTGATACCAGCAATGGGGCCCCATGACACCAACAGTGGGGCCCAATAATGGGGCACAATTCCTCCAATGACACCAATGATGGGGCACAATTCTTACCAATGACACCAGCAATGGGGCACAATACCTACTATTTACACCAATGGTGGGGCACAGTTCTTCCCACTGACACCAACATTGGGGCCCAACAACACCAATGATGGGGCACAATTCATTCCACTGACCCCAACAATGGGGCCAATGACACCAATGCTGGGGCACAATTCCTACCAATGACACCAGCGATGGGACACAATACCTACCATTTACACCAATGGTGGGGGCACAGTTCCTCCCACTGACACCAACATTGGGGCCCAACGACACCAATGATCGGACACAGTTCCTCCCACTGACACCAACATTGGGGCCCAACGACACCAATGATCGGACACAGTTCATTCCACTGACACCAACAATGGGGCCCAATGACACCAATGACGGGCAACAATTCCAAAAATGACGCCAACAATGAGGTTCACTGACACCAAAGATGGGGTATTTTTTAACTCCAACCGATGCCAGTGATTTTTTTTGCTCCCAATGACCACAGTCCGGCCTCCCTAAAGTCTGAAGGACAGTAAACCGGCCTTTTTATTTAGAACGTTTGGAGACCCTGCTATAAACATTTGTGGTCTCCGCTGATCCTGGCCTGTGCTGCACAATTGTGCTTTGTTCTATACGATCGATGTAAAGGTCGATGTAAAGGTCCATCTAAGCCTTGAGTTAGTCTTTGAGCCCCGATGAAGGAGAGATTTGGGCCCGGAGCGCATAGGATGTTCTAAGCGATTATTTGATGGACAATGAAACCATTTGAACTTTTTTATGTTTTTTCGCTCCTCTATTGGAGGAGATGATTGTTTTATGAGGGTCCTCTCACAACACGTCCGCTCCCTGAATAGATCTGGTTTCTCAATCCTTCAGAACGAATATTTGTTGCATCCTCCGTGCCTCTCGATTTCTTTTTTCGTTCCACCATGAGAGACGGCAATGGATGCCGAATTATGTGAATGATTTGATTTGTTTTCTATTGTTTTGTTGGTTAAACGTCCCTCCGTGTGTGTGGCAGGGCCGGCCCCCGAAGCCATCACAGACAAGATCTTCCAGCTCAGCAAAACCATCGAGGAGTACGCCATCTGCCCAGACCTGAAGGTGGACTTATCGACTATCGGCAGACAACAGTTCGATCTGGAGAACAAGTTCAAGCCATTTACCGGTAACGGCGCCTCCATGTTTTGCGTCACCCAAATGAAATTTGCGTCCTTTTTTCCCACAAATAGAGCTTTCTTTCTGTGGTATTTGGTTGCATTTTTATTGTTTTTAATGCAACTTTATACAGCTCGCGCTGTATAAAGTGTACATGCATGAGGACTGACAGCTTTACCAGCATCTTTATGCCCAGGGGGTGGACTGCATGATCACATGACCGCGGTGACTGGCTGTCACAGTGTGTCATGTGATTGGGAGCCGCTGCTGCCGGCTTCTGATCATTAACCACTTCCTGTTCGTCCGTTGTATATAAACGGCCAGATGGTGGCAGTGCCGGGGCGGGTGTCTGTTTGTAAACGGCCTCCCGCTCCCTGCTTGTGCGCGCTCCCTGGAAGCGCGCAGCACCCGCGATCCGGTGCCCGCTGTGTCCTCCTGACCGGATCGTCGGACAGGACCTCTGTACGATGTCCCGATCATGTAATCACTGATTGGCCAATCAGTGATCACATGCAGAGTAGTAAGCAAGATGTCACTTCTCCGGACACAGTGGAACACCGATTGTCGTACGAGACCTCTGTGCGAGATCCCGATCATGTGATCACTGATTGGCCAATCGGTGATCACATGCAGAGTAATAAGCAAGATGTCACTTGTGACATCATTGCTTACTACGTGTGAAATCTGTGAATGATCACAGAGGTCACATGGTACAGGGCTATTCACAACTGCTTTGTACCATGTGACAAGCTGTGACCAATCACAGCTCACACAGTATTTCTCAATGGCTGCAAGAATGCAGCCAGAGAGAAGGAGAAATGATTGCTTTTTACAGCCTTTAGGCTGAGGAATATCTTTGACTTCAGTGCCTTAAAAGAACTGCTTTCAGGACAGAACCGGCTGAAAATCCGGATCTACGCCATGCATGGAGGTAACCTGTCTGTGACGGAAAACTCCTAACATGTTCTCTATGAATTAAAAATTATCTCTAGCCATTTATTTTCGTTGTTGCCAGCCTCACGTACAAATGAAATCCCCTAGAGTTGGGCTCTCCTGGCAGCGGAAAAAACACGTTTACACACGATAATGCGTTTAGCACTTGGACGTTTATTCATTTCATTGGCCCAGGTATTTTCCCTTGACATGAATAAACGCCCAAGCGCTAAATGCGGCTAGCGTTCAACCACTTCCCGTCCGGCCCATGTACATAAAGGGGCGGGTTGTTTGTTCATAAATAGCACCCGCATTTATAGGCTGTGGGCGCTCCCTGGAGCACGCAGCACCGCGATCCGGTGCCCGCTGTGTCCTCCGGGACACAGCAGAACAACGATCGCTGTACGAGACCTCTGTGCAAGGTCCCGATCATGTGATCACTGATTGGCCAATCAGTGATCACATGCAGAGTAGTAAGCAAGATGTCACTTCTCCGGACACAGTGGAACACCGATCGCTGTACGGGACCTCTGCGTGTGAAATCTGTGAATGATCACAGAGGTCACATGGTACAGGGCTGTTCACAACAGCTTTGTACCATGTGACAAGCTGTGGCCAATCACAGCTCACACAGAAGTTCTCAATGGCTGCAAGAATGCAGCCAGAGAGAAGGAGAAATGATTGCTTTTACAGCCTTTATGGGTGTGAAAGCAATCGGTGTAAAAAAAAAAGAAGAAAAAAAATCTTCATCACCCCCCACAATTAGTACAGTGTCACCATGGTGACCACTGTACTGCTAGGGTGACAGTATGTAAAAAAAAAAAAAAAAAAATTTTAATATAAAAAAATTTAAAAAGTTTAAAAATTATAATTTTTGGTTATAAACTAATTTGGGTTATTTTTTTTTTTTTTTTACTAAAAAGATAACGGAATACATTTTGGCCAAGATTTATAATGAAATATTATTTATTTGCAAAATTTTATAAGAAACTTTTTTTCAAAATTTTTGGACTTTCATTTACATAGCAAAAAAATAAAAATCCCAGTGGTGAATAAATACCACCAAAATAAAGCTTTATCTGTCTCAAACAAATGATTAAAAATTCATATGGGTACAGAGTTGCATGACCGCGCAATTGTCATTCAAAGTGTGAAAGCGCTGAAAGCTGAAAATTGGCCTGGACTGGAAGGGGGGGGAAAGTGTCCGGACTGACTCGGTCACTGTCCTTAGAGCGTGCAACCAGGATGCGTCTACGTGGCGTGTGAGCAGTAAAGCACGCCTTTTCTGCCACGGCACAAATCTGTTACGTCGGTGGATGGTGTCTGCGGTCTGGCATGTTAGAATGATTCATTTTCGGAATTTGTTTTGTATATATGTTATTTTCAAATCGCTTCGAAATTCGGAAGAAAGCTATATTTGTTCTACTTTATTCTATTCTAATCTATTTCTATTTTTTTTTTTCTATTTTTATTTTTTGTTATTCTTTTATTTTCTGTTCCATTGTATCTGTTTTCTTCTTTTCTATTCTTTTATTTTCTGTTTTATTCTGTTCCATTTTTATTTTTTATTCTGGTCTGTTTAATTGTTATATTCTTTTATTTTCTGTTCCATTCTATTCTGTTTTATTCTATTCTAATCTATTTTATTTTTCTCTATTCTATTCAATTCTGTTCTTTTTCTATTCTTTTATTTTCTATTCTATTTTTATTTTCTGTTCCATGCTATTCTGTTTTCTTCTTTTCTATTCTTTTATTTTCTGTTGTATTCTGTTCCATTTTTATTTTCTATTCTAATCTGTTCTATTTTTATTCTATTCTGTTCTATTCTTTTACTTTCGGTTTCATTCTATTCTATTTTATATTTTTCTATTTTATTTTACATACTATTCTTTTTCGATTCTATTCTTTTATTTTCTGTTCCATTCTATTCTGTTTTATTGTATTCTAATCTATTTTATTTTTCTCTATTCTACTCTATTCAATTCTGTTCTTTTTCTATTCTTTTATTTTCTATTCCATTCTATTCAGTTTTTCTTCTTTTCTATTCTTTTATCTTCTGTTGTATTCTGTTCCAATTTTATTTTCTATTCTAGTCTGTTTTATTTTTATTCTATTCTGTTCTATTATTTTACTTTATGTTCCATTCTATTCTGTTTTATTGTATTCTAATTTGTTTTATTTTTCTCTATTCTGCACTATTAAATTATGTTTTTTTCTATTCTATTATTTTATTTTATTTTTATTTTATTCTGCATTGTTCTGTTCTTTTTTGTTTTTTATTCTGTTCTCTTTTATTTTAGTCTATTCTTTTCTGTTCTATTATATATTATAAAGCAGCCTAAGTAAAAAAAAAAAAACACCTTATTTCACTTTTATACCTTACTGTATTTATTGCATATGTTTCCAATTCAAATTCCAAATAATTTTTTTATTAGAATTGTTACTATTGTGATTCAGAAATTTGGATACATCTGAATAATGAAAATTTTGTCAGAATTTTGATTCACCACAAAGCAAAGTGCACACGTCTAGTGGTGACAACGGTGGACCATGACTATGAAATGTGCCACTTATAGTCCCTATGGAATTCTCATGTAACGGGATAACAACGCAGGAGAGCAGAGTTGGAGACGGAGCGTTGTCACCCTATAGCAGGAAATGCCTGAAGAAGGACCTTTATGGCAGGATCACCAGATATGATCTCTTTTCTTTTGTGCTCTTTCACAGTTGAGATCGTGGATTCGGTGGAGGCCTATGGAAACATGCTGAGGAATATCTTCGACTTCAGTGCCTTAAAAGAACTGCTTTCAGGACAGAACCGGCTGAAAATCCGGATCGACGCCATGCATGGAGGTAACCTGTCTGGGATGGAGAACTCCTAACGTATTCTGTATGAATTAAACACTATCTCTAGCCATTTATTTTCTTAGTTTTCGGCCTCACAGTGACAGTTTGTTTAAAAAAAAAACAATATAAAAATGTAAAAAAAAAATGTTGAAAAATGATAATTTTTGGTTATAAACTAATTTGGGTTATTTTTTTTTTTTTTTTTTTTTTAAAAAGAGAACTGAATAAATTTTGAAATGAAATGAATGAAATCCCCTAGACATTGGGCTCTCCTGGCAGCGGAAAAAAAACGCTAAACGCGGAAAAAAATGCATTTCCACACGATAATGTGTTTAGTGCTTGGACGTTTGTTCATTTGATTGGCCGGGGTGCTTTCCATTGACATGAATAAATGCCCAACACGGGCCGGACGGGAAGCGTTCAACCACTTCCCGTACGGCCCGTGTATATAAACGGCAGATGGGAGCAGTGCAGGTGTGGGTCGCCGTTCATAAACGGCGCCCGCATTTATAGGCTGTGCACGCTCCCTGGGAGTGCGCTGCTGCACCGCGATCCGGTGCCCGCTGCGCCCTCCGGATACATCACTGTATGGGACCTCTATGTGAGGTCCCGATCATGTGATCACTAATTGGACAATCAGTGATCACAAGCAGAGTAGTAAGCAAGATGTCACTTCTGCCATCATTGCTTACTACGTGTGAAATCTGTGAATGATCACAGAGATCACATGGTACAGGACTATTCACAACAGCCTTGTACAAGCTGTGGCCAATCACAGCTCACACAGTATATCTCAATGGAGAGAAGGAGAAATGATTGCATTTACAGCCTTTATGGGTGTGAAAGCAATCGGTGTAAAAAAAAAATCTTCATCACCCCCCCACAAGTAGTACAGTGTCACCATGGTGACACTGTACTGCTAGGGTGACAGTATGTAAAAAAAAAAAATAATAATATAAAAATGTAAAAAAAAAACTGTTGAAAAATTATATTTGTTGGTTATAAACTAATTTGGGTTATTTTTTTTTTTAACTAAAAAGATAACCAAAAAAATTTTGGTCAAGATTTATGAAGAAAGATTATTTATTTGCAAAATTTTATAAGAAAAATACTTTTTTTTTTTTTTTTCAACATTTTTGGACTTTTTCATTTATATAGCAAAAAAAAAATAAAAATCCCAGTGGTGAATAAATACCACCAAAATAAAGCTTTATCTGTTTAAAAAAAAAATGCTAAAAAATCCGTATCCATAAAAAAAAAAAACATTAATATAAAAAAAGTTTAAAAATTATAAATTTTGGTTAAACTAATTTTGGGTTATTTTTTTTTTTTTTTTTACTAAAAAGATAACGGATTAAATTTTGGCCAAGATTTATAATGAAATACTATTTATTTGCAAAATTTTATAAGAAAATCACTTTTTTTTTCAAAATTTTTTGGGCTTTCATTTACATAGCAAAAAAAAAAAAAAAAATCCCAGTGGTGACTAAATACCACCAAAATAAAGTTTTATCTGTCTCCAAAAAATGATTAAAAATCCATATAGGTACAGTGTTGCATGACCGCGCAATTGTCATTCAAAGTGTGATAGCGCTGAAAGCTGGAAATTGGCCTGGACTGGAAGGGGGTGAAAGTGTCCGGACTGGAAGTGGTTAAACGCGTTTGCACGCGGTTTTGGGTGAAAACATTTCTCTGCTGAACACGATCATTCTGCGCTCAGGAGAGGGACGTTTAGCTGTCTCTATGCTCTGCTGCTCCTAAACTCTGCTAAAGACCTACTTGTACATGGACACACAGGCTTTTTATTGAGTTGAGTTCAGGGGCTTCAGCAAAAAAAAAAACGCCAAAAGCTCCCAAATTCATGTCTATGAGCAGCAGTGTACATGAGGCCTTATGCAGGCCATACATGGTTTGAATTCCGAACGATTTTTCGTCCGAAAATCGAACGAAATGTCGTTCGTTCTGTAGTCCGATGGTGCCACCAATGATTTTGAAAATCGGTTGCTTTCAATGAATTTTGCAGCATGCCCAATAAACGAAATGGGGAGGAACCACGAAAATCAGCTGATGCCATTGTCCCACTAACAGAGCAAAAATCAGCCGATTATTCTTAGGTCCAATTTTTGTACGAAAATCGTTCGGAATTCGAACCGTGTATGGCCGGCATTAGAGTGTGGAAGAGTCAGAACAGCCATTGGGTTTTTCTTTATCAGGGACAATGATCCCTGCTGGGATCTGGTTGCCCTAGTTAAGTAGGCCATAGATGGGTCGTTTATTGGCCGAATTTTCGTCCACTTGAAAAAATCGTCAGAAATTCACACCGTTAGTGGGGCCAGCCCGTCGGCCATTTTTCGCGGATCTTCTCATTTATTTTTATTAGTCATGCTGGAAAATCCGTTTTCATGGACATTGGTGGCAGCATTTTCTGTTTATCGGCCGATAAACGGCCCTTCTATGGCCAGCCTTAGGCTTAACTAGGCTTAACTCCTTGACGCCGATGTCACACAAATATGTGGCCTCACAGAACGGGGCTTTTTTTTTTTTTTGGACCCGTATATTTTACGTACCTGTCTTTGTGCTGGGAGCGCGCCACACTGCACGCTCCCAGCACAAGGATCGGGGTGACACTGAGAGAGCACCGGGTCCCGTTCGAATGATCAGGACTCCCTATTCCGGGTCACATGATCGCTGTGATATTCTCTGATTGGCTCTCACAGTGATCAGTCACTGTGAAGCCCGCCCCCCATGGTTTTCTTTCTCTCTGATTGGAGGCGAGAGATATATTGTATCTCTCCCTCTCTCCCCCTCTCTCTCTCCTCCCCATCCCCCCTCTCTCCCTCCTCTCTCTCCCTCCCTCCCCCCCTCTCTCTCTCCCTCCCCCCTCTCTCCCTCCCCCCTCTCTCCTCCCCCCTCTCTCTCCCTCCCCCCTCTCTCTCTCCCTCCCCCTCTCTCTCTCCCTCCCCCCTCTCTCTCCCTCCCCCCCCCCTCTCCCTCCCCCCCCCTCTCTCCCCCCCCCCCCTCTCTCCCTCCCCCCCCCTCTCTCCCTCCATCTCTCCCCCCTCTCTCTCTCCCCCCATGGTTTTCTTTTCTCTCTGATTGGAGGCGAGAGATATATTGTATCTCTCCCTCCTCTCTCTCCCTCCCTCTCTCTCCCTCCCCCCTCTCTCCCCTCCCCCCTCTCTCCCTCCCCCTCTCTCTCCCTCCCCCCCCCCTCTCTCTCCCCCCCCCCCTCTCTCTCCCTCCCCCTCTCTCTCCCTCCCCCTCTCTCTCCCTCCCCCTCTCTCTCCCTCCCCCTCTCTCTCTCCCTCCCCCCTCTCTCTCCCTCCCCCCTCTCTCTCCCCCCCCTCTCCCTCTCTCCCCCCTCTCTCCCCCTCTCCCCCCTCCTCCTCCCTCTCTCTCTCCCCCTCTCTCTCTCTCCCCCCTCTCCCCTCTCTCTCCCCCGCTCTCTCTCTCCCCCCTCCCCCTCTCCCTCTCTCCCCTCCCTCTCTCCCACCTCCCTCTCCTCCCCCTGGTCCCTCTCTCCCTCTCCCCCCCTGGTCCCTCTCTCTCCCTCTCCCCCCCTGGTCCCTCTCTCCCTCTCCCCCCCGCTCCCTCTCCCTCCTCCCCCCTCTCTCCTCCCCCCCCCGCTCCCTCTCTCTCTCTCCTCCCCCCGCTCCCTCTCTCTCTCTCCTCCCCCCGCTCCCTCTCTCTCTCTCCTCCCCCCGCTCCCTCTCTCTCTCTCCTCCCCCCGCTCCCTCTCTCTCTCCTCCCCCCGCTCCCTCTCTCTCTCTCCTCCCCCCGCTCCCCCTCTCTCTCTCTCCCCCCGCTCCCCCTCTCTCTCTCCTCCCCCCGCTCCCTCTCTCTCTCCTCCTCCCCCCGATCCCTCTCTCTCTCTCTCCCTCTCCTCTCCCCTCCCCCCGATCCCTCTCCCTCTCCTCCCCCCGCTCCCTCTCATCCCCCCACTCCCTCTCCCTCTCTGTCTCCCTCCCCCCCTCTCCCCCCCTCGCTCCCCCCCCCTCTCTCTGTCTCTCCCCCCTCCCCCCCCCCTCTCTCTCCCCCCCCCTCTCTCTCTCCCCCCCTCTCTCTCCCCCCCTCTCCCCCCCCCTCTCTCTCTCTCTCTCTGCCTCTCTCTCTGTCTCTCTCTGTCTGTCTGTCTCTCTCTCCTTGCAGAGAGAAAAAAAAACAACTGTTTGTAATAAAATAATAAAAATAAATAAAAATTAATAAGTAAAAAAAATAAAATTAAAGATAAAGAAAAAATACCTAGATTAAGGTTTGATCTACTTCAGTGCCAGGGTTAGTGTTTGGGTCAGGGTCAAAGGTCAGTGGTTTTTTTTTTTTTTCTTAATTGGCATTGAGTGTTTTAGGTAAAAAAAAACAAATGCACACTATTGTTTCTGGGCTGTATTGTGGGTGCAAACAAATAACATACACATATATGGTATCCCTGAGATTGTCAAGAGCTGGGGAATATATTTTGGGTTGTTCTTTGGTGGTAGGTTATGGTAGTAACAAGAAACACACAGCTAAATTTAAAAAAAAAAGTTTTTTTTTTACTATTTGGAGCCAGTTTTGATATCATAAAAAATCACTGGATACCCATTACCATTTACCACCAAATGAAAGCCCAATTTATCCTGAAAAATATGCGGTATAATTCACCTGGATGTATAAAGTAGTTGTGGTGATATGTACGGGTTTACTAACAGATGTCAACGTTGTAAAATTTTACTTAGGCATTAAGATTTGTTTTACCCCTTAGGTGTGAAGGGGTTAATGGCCGGCTTCTCTCTGGTATAGTGGAACCTGTAGGTGCTTTAGGATCCACATCCCAGAAAAATAGGAGGAGGAGGATAGCTTCACAAGTCCGGATATAGTTTTTTAATAGCCCTGAAGGCAGCCTTGTAAAGCCCCTGAAACGCGTTGGAATCTCTCTTCAGGGTTCCTCTGATTATTTTGTTGGCTATATTCTATTCTTCTACTTTTATTAATTTTTCTAAACCCTAATATAACAAATGTTTTCCAAAAGATAACCTTTTTGGGCTGCTCATAAAAAAAAAAAAAATGTCTGGATCCCCCCGCTGCAAGGCTCAGCTGCCCCATGATGTTTCTGTTTCTGTTCCTCAGTGGTTGGGCCGTATGTAAAGAAGATCCTGTGCGAGGAGCTTGGGGCCCCGGCCAATTCTGCTGTCAATTGCATCCCGCTGGAGGATTTTGGAGGGCACCACCCTGACCCCAACCTGACCTACGCATCGGAGCTGGTGGACACAATGAAGACGGGGGAGCACGACTTTGGGGCAGCGTTCGATGGTGATGGGGTAAGGTCAGGTGCATGGTACTAGGGATAGTATTTTTATTTATTTTTTTTTTTTTAGCTGAAATCCAGGCACACAAACTTTCAACCTAAAAGCCAGAAAATATAGAAATTGAATGAATTAAATGGGGTTTTTGGTTTGTGGTGCACAGATGCAGTCCATCTGACCGGACCATGTTATAGCCCAGAGAGAAGTTGGATGGTGCTGCCAGCCAGCTATATACCCTTCCCTGTCGGGGGCTGCCAGGAGAGACCATGCAAGTCTACTGTATATTATCTCCCTATTAGATTGTAAGCTCCCAGGAACAGGGCCCCTCCTAAGCCTCTTGTATTGAGTTTTATTGTAACTGTATTTCCTCCCTGTGTAATGTAAAGCTCTGTAAAAAACTGCTGGGCTATATAAATCCTGCATAATAATAATTCTACATATCATAAGGTATCCATTAGTGGTGCACCGAAATGAAAATTCTGGACCGAAACCAAAAAATTCAGGATGCATTTGGCTGAAAACTGAAACCAAAATGGAATGTTTTTATTTATTTTTTTAATATTGTTTTAAATATATAATTGCATTTTATTCGCATTTTAAAATCAAAACTGAAACCAAAATGGAAAGTTTTTTTTGTTTTTAAATATTTTAACTATATAATTGCATTATATTTCGCCTTTTAAAATCAAAACTGAAACCGAAATGGAAAGTTTTTGTTTTTTTTAATTTTTTTTAAATATATAATTGCATTATATTCACCTTTTTAAAATCAAAACTTAAACCAAAATGGAAAGTTATTTTTTTTTTTTTTTTTTTTTTTTTAATATTGTAATAAATATATAATTGCATTATATTCGCCTTTTAAAATCAAAACTGAAACCAAAATGGAAAATTTGTTTTTTTAATATTTTTTTAAATATATAATTGCATAATCACCTTTTAAAATCAAAACTGAAACCAAAATGGAAAGTTTTTTTTTGTTTTTTTTTAATTTTGTTTTAAATATATGATTGCATAATATTCACCTTTTAAAATCAAAACTGAAACCAAAATGGAAAGTTTTTTTTTTTTTTTTTTTTTTTTTTGTAATATTTTTTTAAATATATAATGGTATTATATTCGCCTTTTTAAAATCAATATCATGAATTTAAATAAATCTGAATTTATTTTCCGCACCTTTATGGTCACACGGAGCAGTTTTTGAAGTGCTTTTGCGGTTAAAAAAAAAAAAAAAAAAGAAAAATGCATCCCTTTAAATTCAATATATGTCTTCACACTGGTCTGTTGCGCTTTCCTTGCTGTGTTAAAAATCCTGCTTGCTGCATTTTTGGTCCATTAAAAAGAAAAAAAAAAAAACAGCACCTCCCCATTGAGGCCTGGTTCACGTTGTTAGTGCTTTTTGCAGAAACGAGCTACAGTTTATTTAACCTTTTCACGCCAGCCGCACACAAATGTGCGGCCTCCCGGTGTCGGCCTAGACGCCGAGCGGCCGCACATTTGCATGCAATTAACAAAAAACATATGTCCTGAGACTGTACGCCCTGCGCGCTCCCAGCACACATGTCCGGTACTCACGGAAAGGTCCCGGTCTGCTCTTTCGATCGGGACCTTTTCCGATCATGTGACCGCCATGATGATGTGTCACGGCGGTCACATGATCCCTAAACCCTGCCCATCCCGGCTTCTGAAACTCTTAAAGGGCCGAGAGGTGCCGGCGGGAAGGGGTTAACATGGTTTCCTATGGGACACATTACACTACACACACACTAGGGACAATTTAGACAAGATCCAAATAACCTACACATCTATGGGTTTTTTTGCAGTTTTTGAAGAGGTCAGAGACTCTTTTTTTTTTAAATGCAAAATGCTGTATTTTTGGTTCAATACACTTCAATGGCGTGGTTGCAGAAAATGCATGTAGTGCAGTTTTGACATGTTTTTGATGCGTGTTTTGCATTTTTATTCTGGCCAGCAAAAAGTTGGCTAAAATATATATATATATATATAGTGTAAAAAAGCATGAAGAAAAACACAAAACACACTGCAAAACAGGCACAAAACGCACACTCCATTGGTGTGAACCAGGCCTAAAATGCATTTTTTTTTTGTCACATGGCCTATGAAAAACGCACTGTAAATGCGGTAAAATCATGGTTACAATCGCACGTTTATCGGCACCTATCAGGAAAATGCCAAATGACGATTTTCAGCCGATATTTCGATGCATCCCTAGTATCCATCACATCCTAGTATTAAATAATCAATGTATGGGCAGCACAGTGGCTAAATGGTTAGCACTTCCTCCTGGCAGTACTCGGGTCGTTGGTTCGAATCCCAACCACCTGCCTGGAGTTTGCATGTTCTCCCTGTGCCTGCGTGGGTTTCCTCCCGGGTACTCCGGTTTCCTCCCACACTCCGGTTTCCTCCCACACTCCAAAGACATGCTGGTAGGTTAACTGGCTCCTGTCTAAATTGGCCCTAGTATGTGTATGTATGAATGTGAGTTAGGGACCTTAGATTGTACACCCCTTGAGGGTTAGGGACTGATGTGAATGTACAATATATATGTAAAGTGCTGTGTAAATTGATGGCGATATATAAGCACCTGAAATAAATAAATTTATAATATTATACAAGGTGTATACAGCGCCAACAGTTTACACAGCGCTTTACAATATAAAGGGAGACAGTACTGTTACAATACAAGAGGGTTAAGGGGGTCCTGATCAGGGGCGGACTGACCATTTGGAAACTCGGGCACTGCCGAGGGCCCGGGGTCAGTAGGGGGCCCCATGAGATGCCCCTGGTACTTTTTCCTAGGCTTTTTTGAGTTTGGGCAAGGACACAGGGCCCCATGATCCCCTATTGCTTGGGGGCCCCATGAGTTGTCAGTCCACCCCTGATCCTGATCCTAGGAACTTACAATCTAATAGTGGCGGGGCAAGTGGCATGAAAGGGAATAACTGTGGGGGATGAGCTGATGGAAGAATTATAAGTTCAGTAGTTAGGTGGAGGTGGGATAGGATTCCCTGTAGAGGTGAATTTTCAGGGATCGCCAAAAGGCGGATAGAGCAGGAGATAGTGAATAGATTGGGGTTGGGGGTTCCAGAGGGTGGGAGAGGTCCTGGAGGTGAGCATGAGAGGAGGAGACCAGAGCTAGAGAGCAGGAGGAGCGGAGAGGACAGTATGGGTGATATGTTGAGACCAGATTAGTGACATAGCTGGGGGCAGAGTTGTAAATGGCTTTTTTAGTATTTTGAATTGAATACGTTGAGCAATTGGAAGCCAGTTGAGGGATTGGCAAAGTCCTGATGTCGAAACGCGTCGAACACCGCTACCTGCATATGGAATGAACCCCAGAAATGAATGGCATATAATTGATACATTGTATTTATGTGGGCGGGTATGATTTATGACCATGCATGCACTTATAGCGGGCCATTAAATGTCAGTTCACATTGGCGCGCTGCGTTTCGGTTGCATTGCGGTTGTATGTGTGGTTTACCCCGCGGTTTTAGGTGCGTTTCCCTTGAATTCTAATAGACCGTACGTTTTCCTGAAAGCGTGTCATAGACCTGGATGATGCGCTTTCTGAGAACACACAGTCTGATAGAAGTGAATGGGACCGAACATAAAAGCATGAGTCAGCCGCTCATACAATCGCTCTGCGGCCAAACCAGCGTAGGGAAATATTCCCCCCGTAATTGTGTGTGGTCATGTCTCGCCATGCGACAGGGTTGTACCATTTTAGTGGGGGATTCCCCCCCCCTCCCCCACTGGCCGATTGTGGCTCTTATTGTTATTTCTTTTTCCCTTTTCTCAGGACCGGAACATGGTTCTTGGGAAGAATGGATTTTTCGTCAATCCTTCGGACTCCGTAGCGGTCATCGCGGCCAATATTTTCAGTATTCCCTACTTCCAGCAGACCGGCGTGCGAGGACTGGCGAGAAGCATGCCAACCAGCGGAGCTCTGGACCGGTAAAGAGAGGAAAGGGGTGAATCTGTTAGCGGAAGCCATTCCAGAAGTAAATCTAGAGGCTGCCATTGGTGGCTTCCCATTCTGCAGATGTTGCCTGGCTGCCATGGTGATTCTCAAGCTTCCATACTTTGAGGCATTCACCCATAACAATTATGTCGGTAAGGACTTTTATTTTCTGACTTTCCTGGTCTGCATACTTGTGCCGGGTCGGCGATTCAAATGTTGTGAAGCCAGAGGATCACCATTGAAGCCAGGTAACCAGCATTTTCAGATGTTGACCAGCAGTGGCAGCCCCTGTATTTCTCTTTGGAAAGGTTCACTTTAAGACTCCGGAAGGGATTTCTGGGAAGAGTTGAATTCTCAATCAAGCTCTTGAAACAAGAACTGCCAATGTGGTGTCATGGTAGCCAATCAGAATCCCTTTCTCGTTTTCCAGATGCCGCTTTGGCCCAGCAGGCCAGCTCTGCACTGTGTCTGTGTGCTGGTTGCCATCTTGGTAGAGGCAGGGCTTTGCTTCCTCATGTAAGAGCTGCCGCTTTGCAGACCGCCTATAGAAATTTTACTGCTGCATGGTGGCCCTCCTGTGCAAAATTGTGTGTATGTGTGTGTGTATATATATATATATATATATATATATATATATATATATATATATATATATATATATATATATATATATATATATATATATATATATATATATATAAAATGTGTGTGTGTGTGTGTGTGTGTGTGTGTGTGTGTATATGTGTAATGTGTGTGAATTTGCACTTCCGCCACACATGGGTGCGGTGCACAGCAGAAGCCGATCTGCGAGTTGCGGCGAACACCCCCGCTCTGTTCTGACGGGGGAGTGCTTGATCGTGTGTCAGAGCAGAGCTGGGAACACGATCCATCACTTACCCTTGTACCAGCACCACCTAGTGTGCACCAAGCATACACTTAACCCTTTGATCACCCTTGATGTCAACACCTTCCCAACCAGTGTCATTAGTACAGGGATCAGTGTATATTTTTAGCACTGATCACTGTATTGGTGTCATTAGTTCCTACAAAGTGTCTGTGTAAAAATGTCCGCCACATTATTGCAGTCCCGCTATAGGTCACTGATCGCCACCATTACTAGTATGAAAAAAAAAAAAAAGAATCCAGTATATGTCCCATTGTTTGTAGATACTATAACTTTTGCACAAACTAATCAATATACACTACTTGGGATTTGTTTTTACCAAAAATATGTAGCAGAATACATTTTGGCTGAAATTTATAAAGAAATTCGATTTTTAAAATTTTTTTTATTGGATGTTTATTAGTAGAAAACAAATATTGTTTTTTGTTTTGTTTTTTTTCAAACTTGTCGTTTTTTTTTCGTTGTTTTATAACACAAAAAAAAAGTAAAAAACCGCCGAGGTGATCAAATACCATCAAAAGAAAGCTCTATTTGTGGGGGAAAAAGGAAATAAATTTCATTTGGGTACAGCATTGCATGACTGCGCAATTGTCAGTTAAAGTAACGCAGCGCCGTACTGCGAAAAATTACCTGGGCATTAAAAATCTTCCGGAGCTTGCACTGTAGTCTACAACTATGACCCATCTGCGATATGGAAGGCTGTCTACTATGTCTATGCTCAGACTGCGATCTGTAGTTGTATATTTATTATTATTATACAGTATTTAAAAGCACCAATAGTTCGCTCAGCGCTGTACATTACAAAGGGGGACAGAACATGTGACAGAACAATACCAATACAATGCAAAACATGAGGGGATCGAGGGCCCTGCTCCTTGGAGCTTACAATCTAGGAGGGGGGATGGTGGCACAGGAGGAGATAGCTGTGGGGGATGGATGAGTGGTAGGAAGAGTGGAGGAGGTCGGCAGGTTAGCAGGGGGTGGGGTAGGCTTCCCTGAAGAGATGGGTTTTCAGGGTGCGCCTAAAGGAGAGGAGAGTAGGTGATAATCTGATGGGTTGGGGCAGGGAGTTCCAGAGGATGGGTGACACCCTGGAGAAGTCCTGGAGGTGGGCATGGGAGGAGGAGACCAGGGAACTAGAGAGAAGGAGGTCTTGTGAGGAGCGGAGTGTGCGTGTTGGGTGGTACTTGGATATTAGGTCAGTGATGTAGTTCGGGGCAGTATGGTGGACAGCTTTGTACGTCAGTGTTAGGATTTTGAATTTGATCCGCTGCGCAATCGGAAGCCAGTGGAGGGATTGGCAGAGGGGGGTGGCGGAGATGGAGCGGTTGGAAAGGTGAATGAGTCTGGCAGCCGTATTCAGGATGGACTGAAGCGGGGATAGCCTGTGGCGAGGCAGGCCAGTGAGGAGGGAGTTGCAGTAGTCGAGTCGTGATATGATGAGGGAGTGGATGAGCTGTTTAGTGGTTTCTGGGGTTAGGAACGTGCGGATTTTGGCGATGTTGCGGAGGTGGAGGCGGCATGAGTTTGTTAAAGATTGGACTTGGGGCTGGAAGGATAGGTTGGAGTCCAGAATGACACCAAGTACTCTGGCCTGCGGGGCGGGTTTGATGGCGGCGTTGTTGGATGTGATGGAGAAGTCAATGGGAGGTGGTGTCCGGGCTGGGGGGAAGACAAGAAACTCGGTTTTGGAGAGGTTCAGTTTAAGGAAGTGGAGCGACATCCAATCTGATATGTCGCTCAGTAGGTGTGTGATTCGGGTAGAGACCGAGGGGGTGAGGTGGGGGGTTGAGAGATAGATTTGTGTGTCGTCGGCATAGAGGTGGTAGTTGAAGCCGTGAGAGTGTATGAGTTGGCCAAGGGAGGAGGTGAAGATGGAGAAGAGAAGGGGCCCGAGGACGGAGCCTTGAGGGACCCCAACAGAGAGGGGGAGTGAGGGGGAGGTGGTAGCATTATAGGTAACGCTGAAAGCGTTATGACAGGTAGGATGAGAGCCAGGAGAGAGCAGAATCTCTGAGGCCGAGGGAGTGTAGTTTTTTTTTTGAGGAGGAGGGGGTGGTCGACTGTGTCGAAGGCTGCAGAGTGGTCAAGGAGTAGGAGCACTGAATAGTGGCCATTAGCTTTGGAATTTAGCAGGTCATTGGAAAGTTTGAGTAAGGCGGTTTCGGTGGAGTGTAGGGGACGGAAGCCGGACTATATGCATTGATATGTCCTTTTTTCCTCTAATAAAATATTTTTTGGGAAAAAAATATCTTCTGGAGCTGAAGTGGTTAATAAAAAACCAGCAGGTGAGGTGGCGGAAGCACAAATCCACACTAATACCCCGTACACACGATGGGAATATTGGACCAATGATCGCCTTTTTGTTTTTTTGTTACATGCTAGTCTCATATCAAAAGTGAAGAGGTTACTAATGTTATGAAAATTCTCGTACGACACAAAGAAAATTCTGAAGAATGTCATGTATTTGTATTGCAGTTTCGGACAAACACTGTACTGATTAAACGAAAATCATACGATCCGGTATCGTACGAGAAAAATTTTCGTGCTCATCTCTTCAAATGATTTCAAATGAGAGCCGCTTGCCAACGATCAGATTATCGTACGATTGCTTTGAAAGCGTTTTTTTTTTTTTTTTTTCGGACATTTTTTGATCGTGTGTACTAGGCTTAAGAATGAAGCAAAAGCAGGGAGATCCTTGCACTATAGATCCTCAGGTACAGCTTCCTCTCCAGCAAGAACGGTGAGCAGCACAGTAGTGATATCACCAAATCTGGTGAGACTAGCAGTCAGCGGCAGCTGTGCCTTAGATGATCTCACGCTGCAGATATACAGCTTTAAGGCTTGAGGCACAAATGCTTTTTTCAGGTGGAATTCGTTACAAAAGGTATCTTTTCTCAGGGCACTGGGTAATCACAATGAACTGCTTCCCCTCTGTCCTATAGCAGAGATACTACTACAGGGTGCCAGGGGTGCGCAAAATCACGTGTATAGATATATATGTAACTTTGCCGTTCCGTAAGGGTAAGGGGCGCTCGCGCGGCCATTTGCGGCCTCTGCTGTCAATTTCCGGGTCTTGGCCAGTGATTACTCGCTGGCACCCGGTGATCGCTGAGTATTATCGAGGGAGGAGAGAACTGTATGCACAATACATTTCTCTCCCCCTGTCAGCTCCTGCACACTGCTTTGCAGAGCCATACAAAGCAGTGTGCTTACAGTGTAAAGCACAGCACACAGTAAAACAGCACACAGTTAACCCCTTCCTGCCCAGTGCCATTAGTACAGTGTCCGTGCCCATTAGCAGACCCTATGCTGGTGCAGGGGGTCCTAGGTTCCTCCTGCTGTACGACAATGCCCGGCCTCATGTGGGGAGAGTATGCAGGCAGTTCCTGGAGGATGAAGGAATTGATACCATTGAATGGCCCCCACACTCACCTGACCTAAATCCAATAGAACACCTCTGGGATGTCATGTTTTGGTCCATCTGACGCCCCCTGGTTGCACCTCAGACTGTCCACGAGCTCAGTGATGCCCTGGTCCAGATCTGGGAGGAAATACCCCAGGACACCATCCGTCGTCTCCCAGACAGTGATTCCCCGCCGGCGATCACCGAGTATCACAGACGGGGGAGAGACCTGTGTATAAACACCTATCTCTCCCTGGTCAGCTCCTGCGCACTGCTTTGTATGGCTCTGCATAGCAGAGCCATACAAAGCAGTGTGCTTACAGTGTACAGCACACAGTAAAACACAAACACAGCACACAGTTAACCCTTTGATCGCCCGAGATGTTAACCCCTTCCTGCCCAGTGTCATTACTACAGTGTCAGTGCTTTTTATTAGAACTGATCACTGTATTAGTGTCACTAGGGATGTCAGTGGCAGTTAATCAGTTCCCCCCCAGTGTCAGAATGCCCGCCGCAGTCCCGCTATAAGTTGCTAATCGCCGCCATTACTAGTAAAAAAAAAAAAAAATTCCAATATATATACCGCCATTTTTAGACGCTATAACTTTGACGTAAACCAATTAATTTACACATATTGGGATTTTTTTTTTTTCCAGCAAATAATGGATCAGAATACATGTTGCCCTAAATTTATGACGAAATTTTATTTATTTTTTAATTTCTCTCTATTGGACATGTTTAATAGCAAAAAGTCGAAAATAGTTGTTTTTTTCTCAAAATTGTCAGTCTTTTTTTGTTTTTAGCGCAAAAAATAAAAATCCGCAGAGGTGATCAAATACCAAAGAAAGACAGCTCCATTTGTGGGAAATAAAGAACTTCATTTCATTTGGGTACAGCGTTGCATGACGGCGCAATTGTCAGTTAAAGTACCGCAGCGCCGTAACGCAAAAAAATGGCCTGGTCAGGAAGGGGGGTAAATCCTCTGGAGGGGGAGGGGTTAACATTGCTAGATGTTCCCTATTGGCTGACAAAATCTTACAGTAGATGGGGAACATCGGAATACTTGAGCTCTGCTAGACCCCCCTGTTCCTCCTAAACACTGTTTGCCGGGTTTACAGCCCTGAACAATGTTTATAGAGTTGTAAAGGTCATTTTTTCTCTTTTTTTTCTACTGAAATATTTTAAACCATGCTGATGTATGATCCCTTTTATAATGTCATTATTATACTCTTTATGCTGCCCAAAAATGTTAAGGGAAAAAAAAATATGACCGTTCCCTTTCCAAATGATCAAAGTAAAAGGAGTCGGCCCCCACAGCGCTGAGATTTGGTTTTGGGCGGATGTTGGGAAATTAAATCCTTCCCTGCAGTTGCATCTCTCTTTAGGACTTTGGAAGAGAAATTCCAAAATGTGATTTCCCGACTCTGCTTGTCTGTTGTAGCCGTGACCAGGAGGCTTCTTTCTGCCGCGTTTCCTAGCTGTGCGGTCGCTGAGATCTCATCAGTTTTCCATCAACGGTCCTTTTAAAGCGCAAGTTCACCTTCAGGAAGATTTTCATTAAATCCCCCCCATGTAATTCTATGTCCAGTAAATGGCATATACCAGTGATCTGCAATCTGCGGATATGTTTGCTTTTATCTGGTCCTTGAGGCATTCTTCTCCCCACTGTCAGCAACAGGGGGGCATCATTCCTCCTGCCACTGACAATGGGGCACTATTCCTCCCACTGACACCAGTGATGGGGCACTATTCCTCTTGCTGACACCAATGATGGGGCACTATTCCTCCCACTGACACCAATGATGGGGCACTATTCACTATTCCTCCCACTGACACCAATGATGGGGCACTATATTCCTCCCACTGACACCAATGATGGGGCACTATTCTCCTGACACCACTGACACCAATGATGGGGCACTATTCCTCCCACTGACACCAATGATAGTGCACTATTCCTCCCACTGCTGACACATCCCAATGATGGGTCACTATTGCTCCCACTGACACCAATGATGGGGCACTATTCGTCCCACTGCTGACACTAATGATGGGTCACTATTCCTCCCACTGATACTAACGATGGGTCACTATTCCTCCCACTGACACCAATGATGGGGCACTATTCCTCCCACTGACACCAATGATGGGGCACTATTCCCCACTCCCACTGATGGGTACACCACTGATGGGGCACTATTCCTCCCACTGACACCAATGATGGGGCACTATTCCCCCACTGATACCAATGATGGGGCACTATTCATCCCACTGACACCAATGATGGGGCACTATTCATCCCACTGATACCAATGATGGGGCACTATTCATCCCACTGATACCAATGATGGGGCACTATTCATCCCACTGATACCAATGATGGGGCACTATTCCTTCCACTGATACCAATGATGGGGCACTATTCCTTCCACTGACACCACTGATGGGGCACTATTCATCCCACTGACACCAATGATGGGGCACTATTCCTCCCACTGACACCAATGATGGGGCACTATTCATCCCCACTGATACCAATGATGGGGCACTATTCCTCCCACTGATACCAATGATGGGGCACTATTCCTCCCACTGATACCATGATGGGGCACTATTCCTCCCACTGATACCAATGATGGGGCACTATTCCCCCCACTGATACCAATGATGGGGCACTATTCCCCCCACTGACACCAATGATGGGGCACTATTCCCCCACTGACACCAATGATGGGGCACTATTCCCCCCACTGATACCACTGATGGGGCACTATTCCCCCCACTGATACCAATGATGGGGCACTATTCCTCCCACTGACACAAATGATGGGGATAGAGATGGGATATAGAATTATAGGGGGATTTTTCAAAAATCTTCCTGAAAGGTGACCTTGCACTTTAAACCAAATGAAGTTTCATATGAATGTATTGGAAAATAGTATTTTTGCTGCACTTGTTCCCATCGGCAATAACCTACCTTCTGGACCTACTGTATTCAGAGTATCTGCTTATCTGAGACCAGTTAGGCACAGTCTAAATCCTGAGCCCTGATGAAGAGTCTGATTGGCCCCTGAAACACGTTGGAAGTGTAAATGCCTGAAATCTCACCCATCAGGGTTTCCCCTGTTTTTATGGGGTGCACCCATTGTGTGGAGTGCTGTGAAACCAGAGCCAGTATTCCCAGTGATCATTTGACCCATTGAAAGTCTGTATCCAGCACCTTGTGTTCTGAACTTGGTATAAAGGAGAGGACAAGACTCATTATGAATCTAAAGCAGTGTTCATCAACTTTCCTGGTATGGGGGACCTCCGACATCACCCAATGTCCGCACATAAAATTCAGTGAATATTCATCATCAGAGACAGCAATCACACAACAGGATATAGTCAAAGAATGCAGGCATAATACAAGAGATAATCTGAGACTGCAGACATGGTACAGGGGATGGTCAGAGACTGCGGACATGGTACAGGGGATGGTCAGAGACTGCGGACATGGTACAGGGGATGGTCAGAGACTGCAGACATGGTACAGGGGATGGTCAGAGACTGCAGACATGGTACAGGGGATGGTCAGAGACTGCAGACATGGTACAGGGGATGGTCAGAGACTGCAGACATGGTACAATTGATGGTCAGAGACTGCAGACATGGTACAGGGGATGGTCAGAGACTGCAGACATGGTACAGGGGATGGTCAGAGACTGAGGACATGATACAGGAGATGATCAGAGACTGTGGCCATGGTACAAGAGATGGTCAGAGACTGCAGACCTGATACAAGAGATGAGCAAAGACTGTGGACATAATATCAATGATGATCAGAGACTGAGAACATAGTACAGAGATGGTCCGAGACTACGGACATGGTACAGGAGATGGCCGAGATTGGGACATGGTACAGGAGATGGCCTGAGACTGCGAACATGGTACAGGGATGGTCAGAGACTGAGGACATGATACAGGAGATGATCAGAGACTGTGGCCATGGTACAAGAGATGGTCTGAGACTGCAGACCTGATACAAGAGATGAGCAAAGACTGTGGACATAATACAATGATGATCAGAGACTGAGAACATAGTACAGGAGATGGTCCGAGACTACGGACATGGTACAGGAGATGGTCCGAGATTGCGGACATGGTACAGGAGATGGCCTGAGACTGCGGACATGGTACAGGAGATGACCCGAGACTGCGGAGGTACTGCGGACTGAGGAGTACAGGAGATGACCAGAGACTGCGGACGTGGTACAGGAGATGGTCAGAGACTGCGGACGTGGTACAGGAGATGGCCCCGAGACTGCGGACATAGTACAGGAGATGGCCTGAGACTGCGGACACGGTACAGGAGATGGTCCGAGACTGCGGACACGGTACAGGAGATGGTCCGAGACTGTGGACACGGTACAGGATGATGGTCCGAGACTGCGGACACGGTACAGGAGATGGTCCGAGACTGCGGACACGGTACAGGAGATGGTCCGAGACTGCGGACACGGTACAGGAGATGGTCCGAGACTGCGGACACGGTACCGAGACTGCGGACACGGTACAGGAGATGGTCCCGAGACTGAGGACAGACGGTACAGGGAGATGGTCAGAGATTGCAGATGTGATACATGAGATGGCCAGAGATTTGGTGTGACTGACATATTACATGAGGCTAGACTAGAAAGCACTGCAAAACTGGGCTATTAGGAAAGTACAGATTATTGTCTGCAAGGGCCCGAGGGACATACAAAAAATTGGGCCCCATGGCTTTAAAGGGTTACAGTGTAATTTTAATTTTGGATGAAAGGCAATGAAGTGTACGTCCAATCAGTAGGATAATATTGGTGAAAACCCGTGAAGTTAACCCCGTCAAGGCTGCTCCTTCTCCACTCTCCATCCTGTAACGGCCCCCCCGGGACTCAGGAAAAACACGTTTTTTTCACCTATGATTAACGCATCTCACATATAAATGAAACAATGTATCCCAGCCACTAAAAACACATGAGGTCAGAACAGAGCATTCCATAAAATATTAAAAATCTAGATTAAAAGTATAAAATGAACTGCACTCTCCTTCTTGCCCCCCGTCCTCGGCTCTGTCTTGGCAACAGGCTGCAAACAAAAAACCCTCCAAAGCCCATCCGGCCCCTTAGATGTACAACTCCATAAAAGTTTTAAAAAGTGGACGTGTTTATGGCGTGCTGTGTAGGGCTGCGCGTCCAACTCCTTCAATGAAACTATGTGAAGAAAAAAAAAAAAAATAGTCGGGCCCTTTGTAGGGACGGGGCGCTCTTAAAATGCCGAGTGAAGTGTGAAAACCTTAATCCGCTGTTTTTATTGCAATCATTTTTTTTTTTCTTTTTAAGAGTGGCAAAAGCTACAAAGATCGCCTTATACGAGACACCGACCGGGTGGAAATTCTTCGGGAACCTGATGGACGCCAATAAGCTGTCGCTGTGTGGCGAGGAGAGTTTTGGAACAGGTCAGTAAAATAATGAACGCACTTTTAGTTTAACCCCTCGCCTACCGGGCACTTGTACCCCCTTCCTGCCTATCAGGCACTTGTACCCCCTTCCTGACTATCAGGCACTTGTACCCCCTTCCTGCCTACCGGGCACTTGTACCCCCTTCCTGCCTACCAGGCACTTGTACCCCCTTCCTGCCTACCGGGCACTTTTACCCCCTTCCTGCCTACCGGGCACTTGTACCCCCTTCCTGCCTACTGGGCACTTGTACCCCCTTCCTGCCTACCGGCCACTTTTACCCCCTTCCTGCCTACCGGGCACTTGTACCCCCTTCCTGCCCAGGACAATTTTCAGCTTTCAGCGCTGTCGCACTTTGAATGACAATTGCGCGGTCATGCAGCACTGTACCGATATGAGATTTTTATTATTTTTATCACACAAATAGAGCTTTATTTTGGTGGTATTTAATCACCTCTGGGTGTTTTGTTTTTTGCGCTATTAACGGAAAAATGCTGAAAATTCTGAAAAAAGTCTTTCATTGTTTCTGTTATAAAATTTTGCAAACATGTAATTTTTCTCTTTCACTGGATATGCATTGATGAGGCTGCACCAATAGGCAGCACTGATAGGGAATGATAGGCTGCACTGATGAGGCGCAACTGTAGGGCATTGTTTAGGAGGCACTGATAGGCAGCACTGAAGGGCACTGGCTGGCTATGCAGAGCCATACAAAGCAGTGTGCAGGAGCTGACAGGGAGAGATCTGTGTTGTTTATACACAGGTCTGTTGTGTCGGTGATACTCGGCGACCGCCGGGTGCCGACAGGGAATCACTGCCTGGGAGTTCACGGATGGTATCCTGGGGGATTTCCTCCCAGATCTGGACCAGGGCATCACTGAGCTCGTGGACAGTCTGAGGTGCATCCTGGGGGTGTCGGATGGACCAAAGCATCACATCCCAGAGGTGTTCTATTGGATGCAGGTCAGGTGAGTGTGGGGGCCATTAAATGGTATCCATTCCTTCATCCTCCAGGAACTGCCTGCATACTCTCACCACATGAGGCCGGGCATTGTCCTGCACCAGGAGGAACCCAGGACCCCTGCACCAGTGTAGGGTCTGACAATGGGTCCAAGGATTTCATCCCCATACCTAATGGCAGTCAGGGTGCCATTGTCTGGCCTGTAGAGGTCTGTGTGTCCCTCCATGGATATGCCTCCCCAGACCATCACTGACCCACCACCAAAACAGTCATGCTGAACCATGTTACAGGCAGCAGAACGTTCTCCACGGCTTCTCCAGACCCTTTCACGTCTGTCACATGTGCTCAGGGTGAACCTGCTCATCTGTGAACAGCACAGGGCGCCAGTGGTGGACCTGCCAATTCTGGTGTTCAATGGCAAATGCCAGTCGAGCTCTGTCGTGCCGGGCAGTGACACAGGGCCCACTAGTGGACGTCAGGACCTCAGGCCACCCTCATGAAGCCTGTTTCTGATTGCTTGGTCAGAGACATTCACACCAGTGGCCTGCTGGAGGTCATTTTGTAGGGCTCTGGCAGCGCTCATCCTGTTCCTCCTTGCGCAAAGGAGCAGATACCGGTCCTGCTGATGTGTTAAGGACCTTCTACAGCCCTGTCCAGCTCTCCTAGAGTAACAGCCTGTCTCCTGGAATCTCCTCCATGCTCTTGAGACTGTGCTGGGAGACACAGCAAACCTTCTGGCAATGGAATGTATTGATGTGCCATCCTAGAGGAGTTGTACTGCCTGTGCAACCTCTGTAAGGTCCAGGTATCACCTCATGCTACCAGTAGTGACACTGACCCTAGCCAAATGCAAAACAGTCAGGAAAGATGAGTAGGGAATAAAATGTCAGTGGCCTCCACCTGTAAAACTTCCTGTTTTGGGGGTTGTCTTATTGTTGCCCATCTAGTGCACCTGATGTTAATTTCATTAACACCAAAGCATCTGAAACTGATTAACAACCCCCTCTGCTACTTACCTGACCAGATCAATAACCCAGGAGTGTCTTGATACTAGACTCTGATTAAAGAGTGTTCCTTTAATTTTTTTGTGGTGTGTGTATATATATATATATATATCATTTTATTTAAATGTTTTTAGTATTTATATTAGATTGGTTTACTTTCCAATGTGAACCCTTCAGTACATTTACAACCCTAACTAGATACATTCTTGCCATTCCTCAATATACTGCAAAAACATAATTTTTTGGTATAGCTCCACCCTTTACCATAAAAAGCTATCCTTAAGCCCCAGTTCAGTGACTTTCCCTGGCTTGAGATGATGTTGTCAGTCTGCTGCAGGTAGGAGGCAACATTTCAGTTTTTTCTCCGCCAGTGATCAGACTGCATCGAGGGCCCTGCTCCTTGGAGCTTACAATCTAGGAGGGAGGGGATAGTGGTACAGGAGGAGATAGCTGTGGGGGATGGGGTGGTAGGAAGAGTGGAGGAGTTCAGTAATTAGCTGAGGGCGGGGTAGGCTTCCCTGAAGAGATGGGTTTTCAGAGTGTGCCTAAAGGTGAGGAGAGTAGGTGGCAGTCTGATGGATTGGGGTAGGGAGTTCCAGAGAATGGGGGAAGCCCTGGAGAAGTCCTGGATGATGCCTGAGCAAAGATGGTGTCGTCCTTCTGGCATGAAACGCAGATGACAACATGGTAAGGGGGGAGTGATCTATGTGTAATGTAATAAAGTGTTAAACGTCCACCTTGCTCAGCATGCCTGGACTTCACATGAACAGTATATCTGATGTCCACTTTGATCAGTCCTGAAGGTGTCACTGGCGGCCCCATTAGGAAGCACTAAATTCTTTTACGCAGCATCTTCCAGTAACCAATCTGTGTGTTATTTTTTGGGGTAACTATGCGTGAGTATAACCGCAGTCTTTTATGGGGCCAAACCCTCCACTAATTAGCCGTGTAATCTGCCAGGACATATATTCAAATTGCATAAACATCGCAGTGCAGATTGAAGGAACCTAAAATTGTATTTATAGAGAGGTTCTAGCAAAACTCATATTTTAGGTCTGGCACAGAATCAGAGAAAACAGGTTTTTTTTTTCCTTTTTATTTTTACAAAGAGCTCTCAAAAATTGGCACAAACTTTTTTTTTTTTCTTTTTTTTTTTTTTTTTTTTATATTCCCTAATTGTAACTTATAAGTTTTTCTGGGGAAATTCAGAGACTTGCCGAGTGACTAACCGCACTCTGAGACCTTTTTTTTTTTTTTTTTTGGAGGCTTTTTTTTTTTTTCCCAAATAAGAGTTTTGTTTGGCGGCTGAATTCGGTCCGGTTAATTTTTTTAATTCTTATTCTATTTGAGCGATTGTACAAATTCAATTCCGACTTTTATCCAGAAGTCTTTGAAAGGCAAACATTGGATGGGAGCGGCCGCATGCTTCCGGTTCATTAACCACTTCCTGTCCGGACACTTTCACCCCCTTTTCCAGTCCAGGCCAATTTTCAGCTTCCAGCGCTATCACACTTTGAAGGACAATTGCGCGGTCATGCAACTCTGTACCCATATGAATTTTTGAGCATTTTTTTTGAGACAGATAAAGCTTTATTTTGGTGGTATTTATTCATCACTGGGATTTTTATTTTTTTGCTATGAAAATGAAAATGTCCAAAAAATTTTGAAAAAGTGTTTTTCTTATAAAATTTTGCAAATAATCTTTCATCTTAAATCTTGGCCCAAATTGATTCCGTTATCTTTTTAGTAAAAAAAAAAAAAAAAACAAATTAGTTTATAACCAAAAATTATAATTTTTTAAAAATTTTTTTTACATTTTTAAGTTATTTTTTTATATTATGTTTTTGTTTTTTTTTTTTTATACATACTGTCACCCTAGCAATACAATGTCACCATGGTGACACTGTACTACTAATGGGGGGTGATGATTTTTTTTTTTTTTTACACTGATTGCTTTTACACCCATAAAGGCTGTAAAAGCAATCATTTCTCCTCCTCTCTGGCTGCATTCTTGCAGCCATTGATAACTACTGAGTGAGCTGTGATTGGTCACAGCTTGTCACATGGTACAAGGCTGTTGTGAATAGCCCTGTACCATGTGACCTCTGTGATCATTCACAGATTTCACACGTAGTAAGCAATGTCAGAAGTGACATCTTGCTTACTACTCTGCATGTGATCACTGATTGGCCAATCGGTGATCACATGATCGGGACCTCGTACAGTGGTCCCGTACGACAATTGGTGTTCCACTGTGTCCGGAGGACACAGCGGGCACCGGATCGCGGTGCTGCGCGCTCCCAGGGAGCGCACACAAGCAGGGGGCGGGGAGGCTGTTTATAAACAGCCACCTGACCCTGCACTGCCACCGTCCGGCCGTTTATATACAACGGGAGGTGGTTAAGGAGCAGGGAGGTGATTCAGGGAGGTCGCCTCTTCCTAAGTGTGCAGGAAACGATTTCCTGCAGCAGAACATTGGCCAGTTGTCTGATAAACTAATCAAAAGAAAAACAATTCTGAAGTGGCCGCGCACTACTTCATCTGTATTACTGCAATTGTCATATTAAAGAATATAAGAATATAAAAACCCAACATTTCATATTACTGATATGTGCCTGCTGTACCATGTACTTGTATGAAGAGCGATCCTGTTCTCTTTGTATTGCTTCCTTTGTGTGAAATCCCTGGTACCTCCTGCCAGTCCCTCTGCTTTCCTAAAACTGACCACACTAGGCAGGAGAGCACAGCGTGGTCAGTTTTGTAGCTGTGCTGGAAACTCAGCCTGCTCTCCTCCAGTGATCAGACTTGTCTTGACACACTGCACCCTCCTCCACACAGCCTTTCACTGGGAAGACCAATGTTCTGCTGTTTCTCTTAAACCCCCCCGCTATCTGAGCTCCTTATGCAGCTGAGAACAGAGGGAGTGAGGGTGTGATCACTTATAAAAAACATTTTTAAATACCCTTTTCCCCCCTTTTTTTTTTATATCTATACACAAATGGTTTGCCTTTCATCTCTATCTCTAGTATATACTGTATGTATGTGTGTATGTGTGGTGTGTGTAAAAAAAAAAAAAATAATATATATATATATATATATTACACTTCCTAAAAAGTGTTTCTTTAATTTTTTTTTTTTTATCAGCGTATAGCATCAAGTCAGTTGAACTTCCAGGATATTGATCTGGTCAGTTAAGTAGCAGAGGGAGGAGTTCTTTCCTGACTGTTTTTCACTCGTTTTGCATTTGGCTAGGGTCAGTGTCACTACTGGCAGCATGAGGCCATACCTGGACCCTACAGAGGTTGCACAGGCAGTCCAACTCCTCCAGGATGGCACATCAATATGTGTCATTGCCAGAAGGTTTGCTGTGTCTCCCAGCACAGTCTCAAGAGCATGGAGGAGATTCCAGGAGACAGGCAGTTCCTCAACGAGGGCTGGACAGGGCTGTAGAAGGTCCTTAACCCATCAGCAGGACCGGTATCTGCTCCTTAGTGCAAGGAGGAACAGGATGAGCACCGCCAGAGCCCTACAAAATGACCTCCAGCAGGCCACTGGTGTGAATGTCTCTGACCAAACAATCAGAAACAGACTTCATGAGGGTGGCCTGAGGGCCCGATGTCCTCTAGTGGGCCCTGTGCTCACTGCCCGGCACCATAGAGCTCGATTGGCATGTGCCATTGAACCCCAGAATTAGCAGGTCCACCACTGGCACCCTGTGCTTTTCACAGATTTGACCAGTGCGAGTTCCCGGGCTGTGCATAACAATAACAAAAAGCTTCCTAATGCGAACATTTCCCAGTATCTCCTCACACCTCTTTGCCTAAGGGGAATATAAAGTGTTTTAGGTTTTTTTGTGTTGTTTTTTTTTTTTTAACTTCTAACCAGTGCTTTCTTAATAGAATCATGGGCCCCTGGGCAAAATAATGCAATGGGACCCCTACCAACCTGCATCAGGTGCCCCCATCACAGCAACCCCATACATCAGGTGTCCCCATCAGTGTCCCCATGTAATAGGTGTCCCAATCAGAGTGTTCAACTAAATCAAGTGTCCCCATACATCAGGTGTCCCCATCAGAGTGTCCCCATGTAATATGTGTCCCAATCAGAGTGTTCACCTAAATTAGGTGTCCCCAACACAGTGTCCCCATATAACAGGTGTCCCCATCAGAGTGTCCCCATGTAATAAGGTGTTCCAATCAGTGTTCACCTAAATCAGGTGTCCCCATACATCAGATGTCCTCATCAAATGAAAGTGTCCCTATAAATCATGTAGCCCCCTCACAGTGTCTCCATACATAAGGTGTCCCTATAGATCAGAGTTGTGACCCCCCCGCACTCACAGATCACAAATGCCGTTCCTATCTGCAATGTAGGTAGCTCCTCTTTCCTCTCCCCCACTGAGACTGAGGTGAGTTCTCAGCCTCAGTGCAGACTTTTTTTCCACCCCCCTGCAGGAGGGAGGAGAAAGCTGAATCCTTTATCCAGCATCAGCCAAACACTTCTTCTGAAAGGAGTGACATTGAAAGCGGCACAAGCTGCCGAATTCCCCCCTAACACAGCGCCTTGTTCCAGCTCTGATCATGGGGCCCTCATGCACCTGGGGCCCCTGGGCAGTGCCCAGGTGTGCCCATTCATTAAGACGGCCCTGCTTCTAACGAAGTTTAGAAGTTGAATTGAAAAAAAAAAATTATTGCATATAATCTATTAAATCTAGTTTATATTTGCCCCCTTTCAGTCAGCAGGTAAAGGTTGGGAGTCTGGTATTTCGGGGTTCAAGCTGGTATACTGCAGTGCTGTGCCTACAAGTCTGAATAGCAAGATCTCAGGTTTTACCCACCAACCATTGAATAGCTGTGATGAGGGAAATGCCCCATTCTTGCAGCATCAGTCAACAAGTGCAGAGCTAGTGCTGGGCTTTCTGGTTAGACAGCCATCATGGTCTGCAGACACAGAATTGGAGTAACACCCTGTAAAAAAAAAAAAATGAATGCTAGTATTTAAATTTTTTTATTTTTTTTTTTATCAGATAATAAAAATAATTCAATAATTTAATTATAAACGTTATATGAAATCAGTGTGTGTGTGTGTGTATATATATATATATATATATATATATACTGTAGTTTTCCTTAAACAGGAGATGCAGACAATTTTGTTTTTGTTGCTTTTGTGTTAAATCCAACATGGTTAATTCTGATTTTTTTTTTTTTTAATCAACATTTGAATAGGGTCTGATCACATCAGGGAAAAGGATGGTCTCTGGGCCGTCCTCGCCTGGTTATCCATCATTGCCACCCGCAAACAGAGCGTAGAAGACATCCTAAAAGACCATTGGCAGAAATTCGGGCGAAATTTCTTCACCAGGTAAAAAAATAGTTGCGTGTAATAGTCTTGGTGCAAAGATCTGTTGAGAAGCTTAATTTTCCGGGAATATTTTCTGGGGGAAAAAAACAGCCGTGAGTTATTGCATTGTAATTGTTAGCTATTGGGGATGGACAGGAAGTCAACCAATTTTTAAAAAAATCGGCCTCAAATTTTGCCACACTAACTGCTTAGGGAAAATGTGCCTGAAAACAAACAAACATGGCTTTACATACTAAGAAAACCATGTGATCATCATGTCAGCTGAAATGACAGTCACTGGCATGGCATGATGATTGCATGGCTTTGTTTATAGCCTATGCAGTATGGCATAATGATCACTTGACTTTGTTTATAGCATATGCAGTACGGCATGATTAATGCATGGCTTTATTTATAGCCTATGCACTATGGCATGATGATTGCATGGCTTTATTTATAGCATATGCAGTATGGCATGATGATTGCATGGCTTTATTTATAGCATATGCAGTATGGCATGATGATTGCATGGCTTTATTTATAGCTTATGCAGTATGTCATGATGATTGCATGGCTATATTTATAGCCTATGCAGTATGGCATGATGATCACTTGACTTTGTTTATAGCATATGCAGTATGGTATGATGATTGCATGGCTTTATTTATAACCTTTGTACTATGGCATGATGATTGCATGGCTTTATTTATAGCCTATGCAGTATGGTATGATGATTGCATGGCTTTGTTTATAGTCTATGCAGTGCGGCACAGTAATCACATGACTTTGTTTATAGCCTTTGCAGTATGGCATGATGACCAAATGGCTTTATTGATAAATGAAACCATCAGAAATGTGGCTTTGTTTATAAACAAAAAGCAAATTGAAGTGCCACACTTCTACTGCTAAGAAGTCCAGATACAACTTTATTCCAATAAATATCAGAAGGACAATCCAAAGAGTAACCAATTGTTTCAGGGGTCCAAAAACTCCCCCTTCAGCAAGACTACAAAAACCACAAGGATATCTCCATATCCATACAATATCCCCGCCACAGGGTCATAGCTGAAACCAAATAGCCAATAGTATTAAATGTATAACAATTAATGTCCGGTAACATTGAGTAGATAATTGTTTATACAAGATCCTCACACAAATGTGTGACTATGAATAATAAACGGGCGGACTGACAACTCATGGGGCCCCCGGGCAATAGGGGATCATGGGGCCTCTGTGTCCTTGCCCAAACTCAAAAAAGCCTATGAAAAAGGTACCAGGGGCATCTCATGGGGCCCCCTACTGACCCGGGCCCTCGGGCAGTGCCCAAGTTTCCAAATGGTCAGTCCGCCCCGATAATAAAACATAATTTCAGTTCCTCAATTGGGTAGGAATATAAAAATAATAAAAATGATACATTAAAACATGGATCCAATGGGAATAAATATAGGAGTAAAATATGATACAGCTGATGATCACGTGACTTTGTTGATAAACAAAACCATCAGAAACGTGCCTTGGTTTATATACAAAGCCATGTCACTGACCACTACCCCTGTATTTCGTTAAGAAAAATAGCTTTTTTAAAAATTGGTTCTAAAGCTAAAACATTTTTTACCGTAATGCATTTCCTGCATTACTATAGGACTCCCTCGCAACACTTACCTCACTGCTGGATCCAGCACTGTGCCTAGCTGCAGTCTTCTCCCCTCTCTCCAACTTCACACAGGAACTGGGAGGCAGCAGTGGGAGGAATTGCTCCTGCTACTGTCAGTCAAATCCAGTGGGGAGGGAGTAGAGGGCAGGGCCCAACCACGCTCTGTGTGTGTCTATAGAAGCACACAGCCCAGCTTGGGAGCGAGCCAACAGGTGCATACCCATAGAAAGTAGCACGCTGCTTATTTTTTTCCTGTAGATCAGTGCAGAAGAACCCATAGATGGTTTATGCAAGTGTGCCAGATAGCAGATCAGCTTTGTACCCTTCAGAGCTCATCGGTGTTGGATTTGGTGCTTGCTGGGAAGAAAGAAAGTGATTATTGCTAGTGGCTATAACAGCTGCTAGCGGCAATACATTGTAAAATTTGGCATGCTCGTTGTACCCAAGTTGATCGTTCGATCAACTTGGGTACATTTCTCGTGCCCACCAGGGGTGGACTGACAACTCATGGGGCCCCCGGGCAATAGGGGATCATGGGGCCCCTGTGTCCTTGCCCACACTCAAAAAAGCCTATAAAAAAGGTACCAGGGGCATTTCATGGGGCCCCCTACTGACTCAGGGTCCTCGAGCAGTGCCCGAGTGCTCGAATGGTCAGTCCGCCCCTGGTGCCCACACATAGTTCGACCCTTGGCCAGTTCCTGCCGAACCGGCTGTGATTCCAATTGTCTATGGCCAGCTTAAGTGTCAAGACTGAAAAGAGTTGCCTCGTATATCGCTGGCACCCAGAAGCCTTTCGAATATTTGGAGATTTTTTTTTTTTTTTTTTTTTTCGTTCTGTTACTTTACACTTGGGTTGGTCAGCTGGTCGTTCTCTGATATATGCTGAGGATTTGCAGAAGCAACCCAGTTTTTGTCCCACCCAGAAGCCATCAGAGCCTCTACTTTTCTGCAGGTACGACTACGAGGAGGTCGACTCTGAAGGCGCCAACAAGATGATGAAAGACTTGGAAGCAGTCATGTTTGACCGCTCCTTTATTGGACAGAAATTAGCGGTTGGTGACAAAGTTTATACTGTTGAAAAAGCCGATAACTTTGAATACAGCGACCCTGTTGATGGAAGCATTTCAAGAAACCAGGTGGGACTGCCATAGTGGCCATGGTTAAAAATAAAAAAAAATCCGATTTTCATTCAGTTTTTAGTCTTCCATTCCTCTGTATCTTTCCTTATTTTTCCACCACTGTGCTTAGCTTCTGGTCCTCCTCTCCTGGCCCAGTCTATGCTCTGTTGTTGGGTTACTCATCAGGGTCATTGACTTCAATTTTTTTTCTTGCTTCCTCTCTTCTCAGGGATTAAGGCTCATCTTCACCGATGGCTCCCGAATCATCTTCCGACTCAGTGGAACCGGCAGTGCCGGAGCAACTATCAGGTTATATATAGACAGCTACGAAAAGGATGCCCCCAAAATATACCAAGATCCTCAGGTAAGTTCACTGGTGAGATGGCTGATGGCTCAGTTTGGCTTTCAAAGAATGCTTATCAACCTACTCCCCAATTATCACAAATAGTAGATTATAGATCAGACTTTCTCAGCATTTTTGCCCCAGAGGAACCCTTAAAATAATTTTTAGATCTCAGGAAACCTCCTACCCCTGCAAAAAAACCTTGCCTGCCTCCTAAGGACCCTTTCACATGGGCAGGTCCAATCAAGTCCTCCCAAAAAAAGGTTTTATGTTCCCCAAATGGGACTTTAAAGGTACTAAAAATACATAAGTTTACATAAAAACTTTTTCCATATTTTATCATACAAAATACATTTGAAAGCATAACATCACGACTTCTATCACAAAAGCATAACATCACCACTTATATCACGAAATCCAAACATCGTGACTTTTATCACAAAATCAGAACATCACGACTTATATCACAAAATCAGAACATCACCTCTTATATCACGAAATCAGAACATCGTGACTTATATCACAAAATTGTAACATCACAACTAACATCACAACTTATATCACGAAATCATAACATCACAACTTATATCACGAAATTATAACATCACAACTTATATCACAAAATCATAACATCACAACTTATATCACGAAATCATAACATCACAACTTATATCACGAAATCATAACATCACAACTTATATCACGAAATCATAACATCACAACTTATATCACGAAATCATAACATCACGGCTTATATCACGAAATTATAACATCACAACTTATATCACGAAATTATAACATCACAACTTATATCACGAAATCATAACATCACAACTTATATCACGAAATCATAACATCACGGCTTATATCACGAAATTATAACATCACAACATATCACGAAATTATAACATCACAACTTATATCACGAAATTATAACATCACAACTTATATCACGAAATTATAACATCACAACTTATATCACGAAATCATAACATCACGGCTTATATCACGAAATCATAACATGATGACTTATATCACAAAATCAGAACATCACCTCTTATATCACGAAATCAGAACATCGTGACTTATATCACAAAATTGTAACATCACAACTAACATCACGGCTTATAGCACGAAATCATAACATGATGACTTATATCACGAAATCATAACATCACAACTTATATCACGAAATCATAACATGACGACTTATATCACGAAATCATAACATCACAACTTCTATCACGAAATCATAACATCACGGCTTATATCACAAAATCATAACATGATGACTTATATCACGAAATCATAACATCACCACTTATATCACAAAATCACTTTTTTCATACCACCTATAATCAATTTATAGTGTTTGATATACAAATGGATTTCTTAATTTGCTGAAAAAACAAAAATAATAATAATAATAAAAAAATTGAATTATTATATTAAATATGTATTAAATATACTTTGTATTTATATGATATTAAATATTACATATTTAATATAATAATTCTATTTTTTTTTTTTATTATTATTTTTATTTTTTTTCAGCAAATTAAGAAATCCATTTGTATATCAAACACTATAAACTGATTATAGGTGGTATGAAAAAATGCATTCTTTGTTTGGACTGCACAGGGGGCTGGCTAAACATTGTGCAGCATTGTGATAGCATTTCCCTTTGTCTACAGGTAGCTCAGGCGCAAAGAATTTCTGTAGTGAAATGCAAGGAATGTGAAAATAAAAAAAATAAAAAAAAAGTATTACAATTTATAATAAAAATAATACTAAATAATAATTATGTCTTATATTTAATATCATATAAAATACAAATTATAGTAAATAACATTTAATATAATCATTACATTTTATTTTTATTATTATTATTTTAGTTTTTTTTCTGTAAATTAAAAAATCCATTTGTATATCAAACACTATAAACTGATTATAGGTGGTATGAAAAAATGCATTCTTTGTTTGGACTGCACAGGGGGCTGGCTAAACATTGTGCAGGTGCAGGAAGCAGACGCCCATTTTGTAATACTGCCCGTTATTGTCGCCGCTGTGTACACAGCTGCAAGCACCTTTACCCGCTGCAGGTTCCAGTCGTTTTCCCACATCCTGTCCTAAAATGTTATGAGACCTGGATAAGAATATTTGTGCAGCTCCATGACATCTTTTTAGGTCCTTCATTAAATCAGATTTCAGTAAACGGAGAAAAAAAAATTCCTGACTTGGGCATTTTTAAGCCGTATGATGTGTATTTACCTGCAGATTTTCTTTAGATTATAATGTGGCCTTCGCTAAAACGTGCTGGAAGTCCAGCTGAAAATGGAGGTTCAAGCGAAATTGAATCCAGCTTTATTTTTTTATCCTTGCATCAGCTGATGAAGCATTTCAATTTTTATTTTTAGAGTGCATACAAAAAGAGATCTTTTCTTGTTAACCTCTTCCTGCCAATGCAACCTTCATCTGCGTCAAGTGGGTCTTAATGCTGGCTTTACACATACAGTTCTGTGAAATAGTGCCCCTTCCCGTTTTTTTTTTTTTTTTATTTGCATATTTGCCACACTTAAATTATTCGAATCATCAAACAAATTTTAATAGTACACAAAGATAACCGGAGTAAATATAAAATGCAGTTTTTAAATGATTTAATTTATTAAGGGAAAAGAGCTGTCCAAACCTGCCTGACCTTATGTGAAAAAGTAATTGCCCCCCTTGCTAAATCATGAATGAACCGCGATTATCCACATTTTTTGGAAAGCTGAGTTAAATTTCACTTGCCACACCAGACCTGTTGAATAAAAAAAAAAAATAACTTAAGAAGAAGCTGTGTGACAAAGTGAAGCATGCTAAAAGATCTCAAAAAGCAACACATCATGCCACGATCTAAAGAAATGTAAGAACAGATGAGAAACAAAGTGATCGATGTGTATCCATCTGGAAAGGGTTACAAAGCCATTTCTAAGGCTTTGGGACTCCAGTGAACCATGGTGAGAGCCATTATTCACAAGTGGAGAAAACTTGGTGAAAAGGAAATGGGGTAATCCTTGGGTGATATAGGTCAAACCCAATAGATACAACAGTGCCACATCCTGGTATATACTATTTATAAAAGAGGAGATTGTATAAATGGACTTTATAGACAATTTTGGATAAAATATTGTTGTACAGTGTACTCGCAATGAATGTCCCAAAGCCCACCATATATTCAAAAGGATGACAACCAGTGAACCACCAAAGTAATCCTATGGGGGAGCAAGGAACATTCAAAGACTGAAGAGAATGCCTGACGTGTGTGTAGTCTCTGTGCCTATAAAGTCCATTTATACAATCTCCTCTTTTATAAATTGGAACAGTGGTGAACCTTCCCAAGCGTGGCTGGCCTACCAACATTACTCCAAGAGCAGAATGACGACTCATCCAGGAGGTCATAGAAGAACCCAGAACATCTTCTAACAAATAGCAGGCCTCACTTCCTCAGTTAAGGTCAGTGTTCATGACCCAACAATAAGAAGGAGGCTGGGCAAACATGGCATCCATGGGAGAGTTCCAAGGTGAAAGACACTGCTGACCAAAAAGAACACAAAGGCTCGTCTCAGTTGCCAAAATACATCTTGATTATCCCCAAGACTTGAGACAAAAGTTGAACTTTTTGGAAGGCCTGCGTCCTGTTGCATCTGGTGTAAAACTAACACCGCATTTCATAAAAATAACATCATACCAGCAGTCAAACATGGTGGTGGTAGTGTGATGGCCTGGGGCTGCTTTGCAGCTTCAGGACCTGGACAACTCGCCATCATTGATGGAACCATGAATTCTGCACTCTACCAAAAAATGCTAAAGAATGTCCGGCCACCAAGTTCCTGACCTCTAGCTCAAGCGCACTTGGGTTGTGCAGCAGGACAATGATCCGAAACACACCAGCAATTCCACCTCTGAATGGCTCAAAAATACAAATGAAGGTTTTGTAATGGCCTAGTCAAAGTCCAGACTTAAATCCAATTGAGATGCTGTGGCATGACCGTAGACAGGCCGTTCATGCTCGAAAACCCTCCAATGTGGCTGAATTATAAAACAATTCTGCAAAGAGTTGACCAAATTTCCGATGTGAAAGACTCATTGGCAGTTATTGCAAACGCTTGATTGCAGTTGTTGCCACCAAGGGTGGCACAACCAGTTATTAAGTTTAGGGGGCAATTTTTCACAGTGAGCCAGGTAGGTTTGGACATTTTTTTTTTTCCTTAATAAATTAAATTGTCATTTAAAAACTACCGTATTTGCCGGCGTATAAGACGACTTTTCAACCCGTGAAAATCTTTTGAAAAGTCGGGGGTCGTCTTATACGCCGGTATACGGCGAGCCGGTGTCAGGGCGGCACTTTTTCGAGGGGCGGCGCGACTGACACCACTGACACCTCCCCACTGACACCAATGATGGGGCACTATTCCTTCCACTGATACCAATGATGGGGCGCTATTCCTCCCACTGACACCAATGATGGGGTGCAATTCCTGCCACTGACACCAATGATGGGGCGCTATTCCTCCCACTGACACCAATGATGGGGCGCTATTCCTCCCACTGACACCAATGATGGGGCGCAATTCCTGCCACTGATACCAATGATGGGGCGCTATTCCTCCCACTGACACCAATGATGGGATGCTATTCCTCCCACTGACACTAATGATGGAGCACTATTCCTCCCACTGACACTAATGATGGGACACTATTCCTCCCACTGACACCAATGATGGGGCACGATTCTTCCCACTGACACCAATGATGGGGCACGATTCTTCCCACTGATACCAATGATGGGGCACGATTCTTCCCACTGACACCAATGATGGGGCACTATTCTCCCACTGACCAATGATGGGGCACTATTCCTCCCACTGACACTAATGATGGGACACCATCATTGGTGTCAGTGGGAGGAATAGCGCCCCATCATTGGTATCAGTGAGAGGAATAGCGCCCCATCATTGGTATCAGTGGGAGGAATAGTGCCCCATCATTGGTATCAGTGAGAGGAATAGCGCCCCATCATTGGTATCAGTGGGAGGAATAGCGCCCCATCATTGGTATCAGTGGGAGGAATAGTGCCCCATCATTGGTGTCAGTGGATGAAATAGTTCCCCATCGTTAGTATCAGTGGGAGGAGTAGTGCCTCATCATTGGTATCAGTGGGAGGAATAGTGCCCCATCATTGGTATCAGTGGGGGAATAGTGCCCCATCATTGGTGTCAGTGGGAGGAATAGCGCCCCATCATTGGTGTCAGTGGGAGGAATAGCGCCCCATCATTGGTGTCAGTGGGAGGAATAGTGCCCCATCATTGGTGTCAGTGGATGAAATAGTTCCCCATCGTTAGTATCAGTGGGAGGAATAGTGCCTCATCATTGGTATCCGTGGGAGGAATAGCACCTCATCATTGGTATCAGTGGGAGGAATAGTGCCTCATCATTGGTATCCGTGGGAGGAATAGTGCCTCATCATTGGAATACCATACTGAAATACCATACTATATTGAAATCAAATCTGATGTTTTTTCATTTTTATTTGGTGTGCGTTGGAAGAGGGGTAGTCTTATACGGCGAGTATAGCCCAAACCCTATATTTTAACAGGAAAAGTAGGGGGTCGTCTTATACCCCAGCAAATACGGTACATTTTGTATTTACTCGGGTTATCTTTGTGTAATAATAAAATTTGTTTGATCTGAATCATTTAAATGTTGACAAATATGAAAATCAAAAATCAGGAAGGGGTCAAATACTTTTTCACAGCACTGTATATGAATGCGGATGTGGGGAAGAGTATTATGAGTAGGAAAGGGTGGGAAGGGTAGGGATAAGTGCTATAAGCAGGGAAGGATGGGGATAAGTATTATAAGTTAGGGAACGGTGGGGATGAGTGTTATGAATGGGGAAGGGTGGGGATGAGTGTTATGAATGGGGAAGGGTGGGGATGAGTGTTATGAATGGGGAAGGATAGGGATGAGTGTTATGAATGGGGAAGGGTAGGGATGAGTATTATTAGTGGGGATGAGTGTTATGAATTATTATTTTAATATGGGAGTTATATAGTGCAAACAGTTTGCGCAGCCCTTTAAAACATAAGGGCAGACAGTACAGTTGCAATACAATTCATTACTGGAAAAATCAGAGGGCCCTTCTCGATTGAGGAAGAGTAGGGATTAGTGTTATAAGTGGGGAAGGGTGGGGATGAGTAGTATGAATGGGGAAAGGTAGGGATGAGTGAGGAAGGGTAGAGATAAGTACTACCAGTGGGGGGGGGTAGGGGTAAGTGTTATGGGCAGGGGTGAGTATTATGGGTGGGGAAGGGTGGAAATGAGTGTTGTGTGGGGAAGGGAGGGGATGAGTATTATGGGTGGGGATTAGTGAGGAAGGGTAGGGATAAGTATTACCAGTGTGGGAGGGTAGGGGCAAGTGTTATAAGCAGGGATGAGTATTATGGGCATGGAAGGGTGGGGAGGAGAATTATGGGTGGGGAAGGGAGGAGATGAGTATTATGGGTAGGGAAAGGTGGGGTTGAGTGGGGAAGGGAGGGGATGAGTATTATGGGTGGGGAAGGGTAGGGATGAGTATTATGAGTGGGGATGAGTATTATGGGTGGGGAAGGGTAGGGATGAGTGTTGAGTGGGGAAGCATTAGAACTTTTGTGTTTTCATTATTGTTTGTGACATATTGGACATCTTTCTCCCCATTTTCTTGTTGTTAACTGTACAGGAAGTAGGGCCATATCCCCTCCATTAACCGTAACAAAAATCTGTCAAATAATCCAATCTGTGAAATAATCTAACCCTTTCCCTAATAGGCAACTTTGGTGGAGTTGCACTTTAAATTGTATCACCCTCTATACATCCAAAATTATGTCTCCAGGGTAGAGGAAGAGAGGCTACTTGGCTACTGTGAAAGGAAAGAAGGAACGGGACAAGAGTGATCCAATCCTATTAATAATAAAGTGTGTCCTATTACAAGCCATACAGACAGAGTTGAGACCGAATTGCAGAATCAGAAAATGAGTCCCTCCTCAGGTCATTCACCTATGGGGTTGTTCTGAATTTAAGATCATATTGTAGCCTACAGCAATGTTGTCAAACTACTCAATAAAAATGGTGGAACACTGACTTTGTGGCACCACCTGCTGTGTGCTGGTGGTAAATCTAAATTATTCATGTATTTCCTAGATGCACTGCATGGCTAAAGGTTTGTAGACACCTGACCTTCACACCTTTTATGAGCTTGTTGGTTACCCCATTTCAAAACCAAGGGCGCGGTTATGGAATTGACCCCACTTTGTGGCTATAAGAGCCTCCACTCTTCTGGGAAGGCTTTTCTCAATTGTGATTGTAAGGGTATCTGTGTGCCCGATTGGAACATTTGAGAGGTCAGGTACTGACTTTGGATGAGAAGACCTGGATCACAGTTGGCGTTCCAATTCATCCCAAAGGTGTTCAGTAGGGTTGAGGTCAGGGCTCTGTCGAGGACACTCGAGTTCTTCCACACCAGGCTCATCAGAACATGTCTTTGTGGAGCCGGCTTTGTAAACGGGTACAGTCATGGTGGAACAGAAAAGGGCCTTCACCAAACTGTTACCACAAGGTTGTCTACAATGTCTTGGTATGGTGTACTATAAACAATACCCTTCACTGGAATCATTTGGAGATCTGTCCATACTTTTGACCATATATGTGGGTGTGATAGCTGCCCACAAACTCTTGGCCATATAGAGTACATTTATAAAGCAGTGCACGCAACATAATGAAAAAAAGTACAAAACAATTGTGTTTCCTGTAACTGAAAACATGGTGACCCCTCTAATGACAATATTCTGTTCCCTTCTCCTTCACAGGTAATGTTAGCCCCACTGGTTACAATAGGACTTAAACTGTCCAAGCTGGAAGAGAGGACAGGCCGCACAGCCCCAACCGTCATCACATAAGCAGGCGAGGCTTCATCACAGCGGAAAATACGAATTTATGTTCACCTGTCTGCCTAGTCTGCCCCTCCCCCTTCCTGCCCTGTCTGTCAATGTAGTGCGTCATTCAACAATGTATGTGAACTGGGGATAGAAGCTGAAGAAAGTAAATTTATTTGGAAACCGGACTGAGTACTGGATTTTATTTAATATTTGTGTCTTTACTTGTGTTTTTTTTTTTTATTTGTAGTCTTCTATTCATTAGATTCCTGGTGCCCAATGTGAGGCTCAAGGGCCACATGGAGCTCATTGGTAGCGGATGTGTGGGACTTTACAGACCCCAGTGGTAGGAGTGGGAGCATTCATTTGATAAGTGACTGTAATGACACAGTGATCACTAAGGCCGGCCATACATGGGTGGAAAATCGACCGATTTTTTTTCATCCGAAAATTGGACCTAAGAATAATAGACCGATTTTTCGCTCTGTTAGTGGGTCAATGGCACCGGCCAATTTTGTAGTTCCTCCCCTTTTTCGGTGATCGGGCATGTTGGAAAATTCGTGAAAAACGACCGATTTTCAACTCAATGATGGTCAAATCGTACGATCGTTTTTCTGAAAAGAATATGCGCATGAGCCGTGACCTGGAAGGAACAGAAGTTTTGCCTGTTATATAGGGTGAACTTTAAGACTCGGTTGGCCGATTTTCGAAATCAATCATGGCACCATTGGATTACCGAGCGAACAACGTTTCTGATTTTCGGTGTAACAAGTTCTGATTCTTTTTTTTCTTTATTATAGAAATTAAAGAAATACAAACCATTCCCCCACATTATCCCACCCTAACCTCCCCCCCCTTCCTCCCCCAGATCCCTTCCCATCCACCCACCAATATCCCACCAATATTCCCTGGTCCATAGAGTTCTATCCAACAATTTCCTTCCATTTCTATGTCTCTCTTCTTTAATCCTCTCCTACACACTTCTTCATCATTCACTTCGCTTTTCCAACATCAGGCCATCTAGAACTCCCACTACTTCCAGGTATTTTTTAGATGTCTTGAAATGATACCAACCAACCCATTCCTTTTTAAACCTTTCCATAAACCTTTCCATTTTATCGTCACCTATATTATTTTATTTATTTATTTTAGGTACTTTACAATATAACGGGAAGCAATACAGCAACAATACAGTTCAATACAAGAGAGTTAGGACGGCCCTGATCCTGGGAGCTTACAATCTAGGAGGGTTACAGGTACTTGTATAGCGCCGTTAATTTACGCAGCACTTTACATATATATTGTACATTCACATCAGTCCCTAACCCTCAAGGGGCGTACAATCTAAGGTTCCTAACTCACATTCATACATACACATACTGGGGCCAATTTGGACAGGAATCAATTCCTACCAGCAGTCTTTGGAGTGTGGAAGGAAACCAGAGTACCCAGAAGAACCCCGCACAGGGAGAACATGCAAACTCCAGGCAGCTGGTGCCATGGTTGGATGTCATAGCTCTTTCATCTTGTTTATATAATCAACGTTCTGACAGTCTCTTGAAGCAGGTCTGCAGTCTGAAACCGCTCCTGAATCGTGTTGTAGCCATCTTCTTGCAGTTTCTGAATAGTATGTGCGGCCCCTTGGTGCGATATACACTCACCCGCCACTTTATTAGGATGCTTGCATCCTGTATGTAACCCAGAAGGTCTAGCCACTTCTTCGAAAGGGGAAGCCAACGTCGCATTAGCAGCTGTGATGTTCATACATTCATCCGAATCTATAGGAATATCATTCTATAAGTCTTTGCATCTTTATTACCCCATGATAAACTGAAACCTTGCGCCAAAATAAAAATGATCAATAAAAATAAATACTGCTGTTCAAAAATGACAAAACCTCAAACAACTCATCATATAACACAACGCAAATAATAAAAAAATAAATAAAATTATAATATGTAAGTCCAAGAAAAGTCCCAAATTAAATCCACTTTATGTTTGGAGTGTGGGGGAAATAATTCACTACTGATGGTGTGAGCACGCTGAAAATTTATGAAACTGTTTTTTTTCTTTCACTTTTGTATCACATTATTTTGGGACACTGGACTTTAGTTATTACCCCATGTTTGTGACAATTCTAAACAAATTTCAAGTGTTGTATAATTTTGAGTGTATTGTCATAGTGGCAACATTCCCCCCCATGCCGCCTCTTTCTGAAAAGATCCAGTTATAAAGGTCCTACTTTGGACATACCCTGTGATAAGGTGACAACGCTTTATTCCTTTTTCCCAATTGTGCTTCTCTGTTGTCACCCTGCCATACTGCCTTCTGATGGAAACTACAAGTAGCCATTACAGTATACGGTAATCGAGAAATGCATTGCTGGAGTGCATGTAGCCAGGAAGAACCTGCAAACCGACTGCAGAAGATCCGCAGTACTGAGATGCAATAATGGATGAAAAGGTGCAAGTAAGTAGTAGAGTAAAAAAAAAAAAAAAGATGACTGTGTGCTTTAAAAAAAATAAATAAATCTGAGATTGACATTCCACCCCCAGAATTAATTATCCAATAATTCCATTATAATTTACTTTATCATTGGTCCCAATGGATTTCAGGAACCTTTCATCAGGGCTTGACAAGGGGCAATATATGTACTAAGCCACGGGTGTCAAACTGTGGCCCTCCAACTGTTGAGGGCCGCAGTGTGACACCCCTGTACTAGACTAAAAAATTACATATATGGTACTTTCTCTGAGCTGGGCTTTTGATGGTCTCTGCCCTTGTCCATATTATTCCGTCTCCAAGCATTGATGAAGGGGGAGAGGGGTGTGTGTGGTTTTTAGACCCTGAAACGCGTTGACTCTCTGACAGTGTTTTATATATATATATATTGGAATTTATATCTGGAGGATTAATTATCACTGTGACACTTCAAGCTTGGAATAATCTAGTTACAAACCAATATAACTGGAAACTCTCTGGCATGGGCAAGCTGCCAGTCCAGATGTCTAAATACCCTGAAGTCTTCTATTAATAGGATAAACTTGGGGTTCCAGTGCTGCTCTTCCTGATTTCCCACGTTTGCAAACTAAAGGGAGTATTTATTAAAAAGTTCACCTGACTATTCATCCAACGAAGCTGCTGATACATTTGTTCTGTGCGAATGGGGCAAAACTAAAAGTTATCCTATTTCCTCAAAACAGGTCGAATGTTATTCATTCATACCGTATTATGGCCACTAGCTGAAGCCAAGGATCACAATTGTTCCTATGATCCTCACCTTCATCTAGTGGCCATAGTGTAATATTTTCCTGAACCAGGACACCATGAATAACATTTGACCTGTTGAGGAAATACAACGTTCAATCTTGCTTCATTCGCATAGAAGAAACTTTCTCAATGACTCCTAAGTTTCATTGAGTTAAGATTTACAACTACTTTAGCTGAATTATAAACCCTTTTAGGTGTAATTACTGGTAATATAAATAAATATATATATATATATATATGTGTGTGTATGTATGTATGTATGTATGTGTGTGTATGTATGTATATGTATATAGTATGTATATGTGTATGTGTATATATATTTATATATATATATGTATGTATATATATATATATATATATATATATATATATATTTTACAGTGTATCAAACACACAATGTCCCAGCAGATGGCTGAAGAGGAGCTTTAGCTATATATATACACACACAGTGGTGTTCAAAATAATAGCAGTGTGTTGAAAAAAGTGAATAAAATCCTTCTAATAGCTTTTATTTCCATCCACACAAAATGCATTGGGAACACGACACATTCTATTCCAAATCAAAACATGAAGAAAAATAGATCAAATTTGTGTTGTTCCTCTAAAAAAAATTGAAGAAAAGTGAATATTAGACGGTTCAAAAAAAATCGCAGTGTTTGTATTCTTCTTTACAAACTCAAACATTCACTATATAAACTGAGAAATGTTTGAAGATTTTGCTTTCCTTTGAATGACTTCATGAATATTTGGTTGTAGTCGCACTGTTTCTGAGAACTGCTGTACATCTGTGTTGCATGGAGTCACCCAACTTCTGGCCCCTGTGATCAGGTATTCCAGCCCAGGATGATTGGACCACATTCCACAGTTCTTCTCTATTGTTTGGTTTTCCCTCAGAAACGGCATTTTTGATGTCACCCCACAAGTTTTCTATTGGATTAAGATCCGGGGATTGGGCTGGCCACTCCATAACATCAATCTTGTTGGTCTGGAACCAAGATGTTGCACGTTTACTGGTGTGTTTGGGGTCGTTGTCTTGTTGGAACACCCATTTCAAGGGCATTTCCTCTTCAGCATAAGGCAGCATGACCTCTTCAAGTATTCTGATGTATTCAAACTGATCCATGATCCCTGGTATGCGATAAATCGGCCCAACACCGTAGTATGAGAAACATCCCCATATCATGATGCTTGCACCACCATGCTTCACAGTCTTCACAGTGTACTGTGGCTTGAATTCAGTGTTTGGGGGTCGTCTGACAAACTGTCTCCGCCCACTAGACCCAAAAAGAACAATCTTACTTTCATCAGTCCACAAAATGTTGCACCATTTCTCTTTAGGCCAGTCAATGTGCTCTTTGGCAGATTGTAACCTCTTCAGCACGTCTTTTCTCCAACAGTGGGACTTTGCGGGGACTTCTTGCAGATAGCTTGGCTTCACATAGGCGTCTTCTAATTGTAACAGTCCTCACAGGGAACGTCACACCTTCTTTCATCTTCCTGGAGCTGATTGTTGGCTGAGTCCGCCCCATTTTGGCTATTCTTCTATCCATTCCAATGGTAGTTTTTCGCTTTCTTCCATGTCTTTCAGGTTTTGGTTGCCATTTTGCAGCATTTGCGATCATTTTAGCTGAGTAGCCGATCATTTTCTGCACTTCTTTATATGTTTTCCCCTCTCCAATCAACTTTTTAATCAAGGTACGCTGTTCTTCTGAACAATGTCTGGAACGACCCATTTTCCTCAGAATTTCAGAGAG